GATGGGGTGAAGCCGCCCAAGATAAGTTATTCGCCAGGTTGCAACGTTCCACTTTCGTCAACCGCCACTACGTGGGCGTAGACACACCAGTAGCCCTTGACCCGTAGGCAAACGGAGGTCAAAATTTCCCTGGTTACGAATGTACAGCCCAAATGTTGGAGATGTGGAAATTTAGATGCAACCTATTTTCATATTTGGTGGACTTGTAGAGATACTAAAGCTTTTTGGATTCGGATTTGGTGGAATATTCAAAAGATTTTTAAGAGAAAGCTAAAGTTTACTCCGCAATTATTTTGGTTGGGTATTATTGTAGATTTGGATGTTAAAGAAACTAATTTGATGCTGAATCTTATAACTGCTGCAAGATTATTGGTGGGGCAATATTGGAAGAAAAGCTCACGGCCTACTTTGGAAGAATGGATACTTAAAAGTGTCTAATTTAGCAGAAATGGCGAAAATCTCCGCCTACTTGAAGGACCATTCACAAGAAAGATATATTATGGTTTGGAGAAGATGGATTGATTACATTCAAAAGAAATATGAAGTTGAAAAGTATTACCTTGCTTTTGAGTAGATTTTAGATAATTATTAATAGTTTTAATTATATTATTATTTTGTCTTAATTTGTTAATATTTGTTTTGAGAAGGAGTTAAAGTGTGTTATGGTTTTGATTGATAGTATAGTTGGTTTATGTTAGTTAGATTATGTTTATTTTTTACCCTGTAATCAGCTCTGGGAAGTGGGGGAGGGGGGAAGGGGTGGGGGGTTTATTGTGTAATAAATTTATAAAACTTTTAATAAAATTTTTTTCCCTGGTTACACAAGACAGTTCTTAAGTGAGTTTGGCCCCATTTTGCAACCGGTCTTGCCGTGGTCGTTAAGTGGATCACTGCAGTTGCCAAATTAAGTAATACGGTTGTCCCAACAGTTCTGAAGGAGCTTCTTGGCTGAGAAACCAGCCGTCTTTAAAGAAAATCAAAGTCCAGTTGCCTTTTGAGGAAAAAAAAAAAAAGCAGCTTTGGATGACTGAGAATCTCCGCAGACGTTTAGTAACCTGATTGTTAAGTGAATCTGGCTTTTCCCCCGTTGTCTTTGCATGTCAGAAGATGGCAAAAGGGGATGAAAACGATGCACCCCCAAATCCACCAGTCAACTGCATCAAATTCCTGGGTGTGCAGCTAACAAGTAGGCTGGCTTGGTCGCTCAACAGCGAGACACATGTGAAGCAGGCACAGCAGTGCCTGCGTTTTCTGCGCTTCATGAGAAAAACACATCTTCCTTCCCCTGTCCTCACCACTTTCTACAGAAGGACAATCAAGGCACGTCTTCCTTCCCCTGTCCTCACCGCTTTCTACAGCGGGAAGATGGAAGCACATCTTCCTTCCCCTGTCCTCACCACTTTCTACAGAGGGACGATCAAGGCACGTCTTCCTTCCCCTGTCCTCACCGCTTTCTGCAGAGGGACGATTGAAGCACGTCTTCCTTTTCCTGTCCTCACCGCTTTCTACAGAGGGACGATCGAAGCACGTCTTCCTTCCCTTGTCCTCACCACTTTCTACACAGGGATGATCGAAGCACGTCTTCCTTTTCCTGTCCTCACCACTTTCTACAGAGGGACGATCAAGGCACGTCTTCCTTCCTCTGTCCTCACCGCTTTCTGCAGAGGGACGATCGAAGCACGTCTTCCTTCCCCTGTCCTCACCACTTTCTACAGAGGGACGATCAAGGCACGTCTTCCTTCCCCTGTCCTCACCGCTTTCTGCAGAGGGACGATCGAAGCACGTCTTCCTTCCCCTGTCCTCACCACTTTCTACAGAGGGACGATCAAGGCACGTCTTCCTTCCCCTGTCCTCACCGCTTTCTGCAGAGGGACGATGGAAGCACGTCTTCCTTCCCCTGTCCTCACCACTTTCTACAGAGGGACGATCAAGGCATGTCTTCCTTCCTCTGTCCTCACCGCTTTCTGCAGAGGGACGATAGAAGCACGTCTTCCTTTTCCTGTCCTCACCACTTTCTACAGAGGGACGATCGAAGCACGTCTTCCTTCCCCTGTCCTCACCACTTTCTACACAGGGATGATCGAAGCACATCTTCCTTTTCCTGTCCTCACCACTTTCTACAGAGGGATGATCGAAGCACGTCTTCCTTCCCCTGTCCTCACCACTTTCTACACAGGGACGATCATACAGCATTACAGTCTGGTTTGGAAACATCCCTGTTTCGGACAGGAAGGTGGGGCAGAGAGTGGTGAGGACAGCAGAAATGGTTATTGGTAGTTCAGAGTGGTGAGGACAGCAGAAAAGATCATTGGCAATTCCCTCCCTCCCACCCAGGACATGGCACAGAAGTGTTGTTGAGCAGGCTCCGCAAGATTGTCTGGCACACTACACACCCTCTTCATGATCTGTTTTCTTTGCTACCTTCTGGGAGGAGGGGGCTCTGTGGTAACCAAAGCAGAACATCCAGATTCAGTCAGTTTTGTGCCATATAGTATCAACCTTGTGAACTCTCAAGCTTCCTCTTCCTGTTATGTATTCAAGAGGGACAGAGATTAATATTTGTATGTAATTTATAGGTAAGGGTGTAGGTCTATACTTATGTTGTCTATAGTATGTTTTTAAATGTGTGTTATGTATGTGTACACTTGAGAGCAAGCAACTAAATTTCATTTTTAATGTGTGCCATTGTGCCCACAGGAAAAAAATGACAATAAAGGTTATCATTATCCTTATCATTAAAAGGCAGCTTTATGTCACGTATTGAAAAGGCCCCTCTCCATCCAGGACTCTGGACATGGAGAAAAAGTACAGGTAGCCACTGACCTATAACTATTCATTTAGTGACAGTTCAAAAGTTACAACGGCACTGAAAAAAAATCGACTTGTGCCTTTTTTTCACACTTCCGACCATTATAATATCCCTGTAGTCACGTGATCCAAATTCAGATGCTTGCGATTGGCTCATACTTATGACGGTTGCAGTATTCCTGTCTGTGTGTGTGTGTCTTGTGATCCCCTTCTGCAACCTTCCAATAAGCAAAGTCAATGGGGGGAGCCAGATTCACTTAAAGAAGCATGTTACTACCGTAAGAATGACAGTGACTCACTTAACGACCGTGGCAAGAAACTCACTCAACAACTGTCTGGCTTAGCAATGGAAGTTTTGGGCTCCACTGTAGTCCTAAATCAAGCTGCCTCTTGCTCAAAGCAGTTGGAAAGAAGATATCGGCTCCAAACCCTTTAGCAGAACTTGATCTCAGATTCTTCCAGAATCGGGGCGATGCCATGGGACAACCCAATTGGACCAGATTTTTTATTATTATTATTATTGATGATGATGATAAAGTTCAAAGGGACCTTGGAGGTCATCTAGTCCAATCCCCTGCTCAAGCAGGAGACCCTATACAATTTGAGACAAGTAGCTGTCAAATCTTTTCTTAAAAACCTCCAGTGATGTAGCATCCACACCTTCTGGAGGCAGGTTGTTCCACTGGTTAATTGTCCTCACTGTCAGGAAGTTTCTCCTTAGTTCCAGGTTGCTTCTCTCCTTGCTTAGTTTCCATCCGCTGCTTCTTGTCCTGCTTCAGGGGCTTTGGAGAATATGGAATTTGTGCCTATGGAATTCACGGCTCCCCGGTGTTCACCCCCAACCCAGTTGCAATTGGGAGAAATCTTACTTGGGCAGCTTCAAGCTGGGTCTTCTGAATTGCTCCCCAGGATTGTCCCCATGACTTTTGTCCAAACCCCTGACACTCATGAAATCTTGAGAGACCAGGAAGAATTCAGAAGACCATAAAATTGGAGTAGGTTAGTTTTCCATGCACTGCATTTTTTTAATATTTTTTTTTGGTCATGAGAACAACCTTCCGTTCACAGGGAGCGTAAGATGCGAAAGAAAGATTACAAACAGAGTCCTCGGGCTGGCGAGATGCAACCGTTATCTAATTTCACTCGGTTATTTTGACCGTCGCTTCAGGACAGGGCGCTGACATTGGACCTCAAAGGCAGTCTGCCTTGCCTTAACTCTGTGGCTTGTCAGGGGTGTTGGATTACAACTCCCATCACCCGTGTGGTCCAATGGTCTCTTGGCTGGGGACAATGGGAACAGTAGTCTAAGATGCCCTCCCAAGCAACGGAGATATGGCTGAATAAGCCAGGAGCACCATGCTTTTCCTGTTTTGTTTTTTTTCCTCCTTTCATACCTGCTACTGAATTTCTTTTGATGCATGGATGTACCATTTTGGGGTGTATTGCATTCTGAATTAGGGCCGTGAACCAGGGTGTTTGGGAGGTTTTAAAGACAACAAACCCCCACATTCCCTTCTAGCACTGATGATGTTGCCTAGCTGGGTCATGAAACGTCTGCAAGAAAACCATCCAGCTCGGAGAGAACGCAGGACCCCATAGTCCTCCTCCTCCTCCTCCTCCCTCATTCTAGCACTGATGATGTTGCCTAGCTGGGTCATGAAATGTCTGCAAGAAAACCACCCAGCTTGGAGAGCACCCAGGATCCCACAGGCCTCCCCCTCTCCTCTCCGCAAACCCCACTCCCTTCTAGCACGGATGATGTTGCCTAGTTGGGTCATAAAACGTCTACAAGAATACAACCCATCTCAGAGAGCACCCAGGACCCCATAATCGTTGTCATCGTCCTCCTCCTCCATCTCCATCTCCTCCCTGCATACCCCTCTCCATTCTAGCACTGATGATGTAGCCTAGTTGGGTCATGAAATGTCTGCAAGAAAACCACCCAGCTCAGAGAGCACCAAGGTCCTCGCAGTCCTCCTCCCTGTAAACTCCACCTTCCCCTCCTCCTCCTCCACTCTGCACATCCCACTCCCTTTCTAACCCTGATGATGTTACCTAGCTGGGTAATGTAACGTCTGCAAGAAAGCAACCAAGATCAGAGAGCACCAGGGACCCCACAGTTATCCGAAAGGTTGGCCCTGTGACATAAGCCCCCACAGTAGGAAGAGAAATTGGAAGCCTTCCCGTCGTACCTGAGGCACCCCTATTTTTCGACAGGCTTCCAGGAAATTTTCCACATTCCGCCGACACTTGGCCATGGTTAATTTAGGCTGCAGAAGGGAGAAAGAAGAAACATGGCGTTCACCAGCAGCAGCAGCATTTGTTAGTCAAGGGCAGTGATGGCAGACCTATCACAGGGGTGTCGAAGGTGACACGGTTTGGGGAGACACACCAGGATGTCATCAGCACAGGCAGTTCTCAGAAACATGCTCTGTTCTTGTGCAAACTGGGGGGCAGGGGCTGCACGAGCATAGGATGTGCTCTGAGGCCATCGTCAAAAATGGAATTTTTTTTATTATGTGCATTTCGTTTTTGTAATGATTTGACGTGGCTTTATACATATTATTTAATGTGTATAGGTAAATACATATTTATTTTTTTAAAAAATACAGCCCAATCGGGCCTATATGGAGTGTATTTTTTTTTTAAATAAATGAGTATGTAAAGAATTGTTTTGTTTCTCTTTCGTTTAGACCCGTCAGGAGTGTCAAATGAGGAATTTCTGAATTTTTTACACGCCAAGCCCCAAAGGTTTGCCATCACTGATCTATACACACATACAAACACACACACACACAAAAAAATCAGGTGAGTCTGGTAGCTAGATCTTCCTTAATAAATGAAAAACAATGAGACGAGTGATACTGATTAAGATTTTTGCATTTATCTTTGATATCAGGCAAATAATTTTGATTTTGCAGACAGCCCTGGCAGGGTCTTGCAGGACACCCCCCCCCGCCAAAAAAAGTTCCCCAGACTACACTTTAAGAAGCGCTGCATTAGAGGAAGTGAGCTGCAGCTCCTGAAAGCTTATGCCCTTAAATCACACTTGTGAGGTGGAAAGTGCTACCAGACTCCTGATTTTTTTTTTTTCATTGATAGCAATCCCGGATTCAGATAGCTTGAAAGCAGATTTAGGAATCTACCGTCTGGGAAAGACTTAAACTTCAAGGCAGCCTCTTTGCAGAGAAAGAGCAGCAGCAAACGGGAGTATAAATATATTTTCACTATAGATTTTTTCTTTCTTTCCTTCCTTCCTTTTATTCTATTCTATTCTATTCTGTTCTGTTCCTTTTCTCTATTCTATTCTATTCTATTCTTTCTCTATTCTATATTCATTTTCTGTATTCTATTCATTTTCTGTATTCTATTTTTATTCTATTCTATACTATACTTTCTCTATTCTATTCTATTCTATTCTATTCTATTCTATTCTATTCTATTCTATACTATACTTTCTCTATTCTATTCTATTTATTTTCTATATTCTTTTCCATTCTATATTCCATTCCATTCCGTTCCATTCCATTCTTTCTCTATTCCATTCCATTCCATTCCATTCTATTCATTTTCTATATTCTAATCTATTCTATTCTATTCATTTTCTATATTCTATTTTATTCTATTCTACTCTATTCTTTTCTTTTTCTATTCTATTCTATTAATTTTCTATATTCTTTTCCATTCATTCTCTATATTCCATTCCATTCCATTCCATTCCATTCTTTCTCTATTCTTTCTCTATTCTATTCTATTCTATTCTATTCTATTCTATTCTATTCTATTCTATTCTATTCTATTCTATTCTATTCTATTCTATTCCACTATATTCTATTCTATTCCATTCTATTCTATTCTATTCATTTTCTATATTCTTTTCCATTCTATATTCCATTCCATTCTATTATTTGATGCTTGTTCTTTATTTTCTACTTTTTAAATCTGCTTCCTGCCTGTTTTACCTTTCCCTCCTTACTACCCTCTGAGGGCCTTTCAAGACAGCAGCTGAGTAAAATCCGCAGGAAAGAGAAAGAGGCATCAAAGCCAGGTCCCACCGGGATACTTACGACAGCTGGCGAGGGCACGTGGATGCTGGGGACAGAACGAGGCCGCACATGGTTGGCTAAATGGCAAAGCACCACGCCGTCCATCAGGGCTGCGCTGAGATCGTTCGGCAAAGACACTTTCAACCGAGATTCAATGTTCTGAGGGGAAAAAAGAGAGGCCAGAATGGTTGCTAAAAGAAAAGTAGGTTAAGCACTTTACAGGGAGTCCTTGACTTCATTTAGTGACCGTTCGCAGTTACAACAGCACTGGGAAAAGTGGCTTAGGACCGTTTCCCACATTTATGACCATCGCAGCATCCCCGTGGTCGTGTGATCAAGATTTGGGTGCATGGCAACTGGCACATCTTCACGACGGTTCGCACAGTGTCCCGGGGGGGGGGGGCGGGCACACAGTCCCCTTTGGCCACCTTCAGATAAGCAAAGTCAATAAGGACGCCAGATTTGCTTAACGACGGAGTGACTAGCTTTACAACCGCAGTGATTCCCTTAACAACTGGAAAGTTGTAAAATGGGGCCAAGCTCACTTAAGAAACTGCCTTGCTTAGCAACTTCGGGCTCAATTGTAAGTCATAATAATAATTAATAATAATAATAATAAAGTTGGAAGGGACCTTAGAGGTCATCTAGTCCAACCCCCTGCTCAGGCAGGAAACCCTATCCCATTTCGGACAAATGGCTGTCCAGTCTCTTCTTAAAAACTTCCAGTGTTGGAGCATCCACCGCTTCTGGAGGCAGGTTGTTCCACTGGTTAATTGTTCTCCCTGTCAGGAAGTTTCTCCTTAGTTCTAGGTAATGTCTCTCCTTGATTAGATAATAATAGTAATAGTAATAATAATAATAATAATAATAATAAAGTTGGAAGGGACCTTGGAGGTCATCGAGTCCAACCCCCTGCTCAGGCAGGAACCCTACACCATTTCAGACCAATGGCTGTCCAGTCTCTTCTTAAAAACTTCCAGTGTTGGAGCATTCACCACTTCTGGAGGCAGGTTGTTCCACTGGTTAATTGTTCTCACTGTCAGGAAGTTTCTCCTTAGTTCCAGGTTGCTTCTCTCCTTGATTAGTTTCCATCCGTTGCTTCTTGTCCTGCCTTCAGGGGCTTTGGAGAAGAGCTTGACTCCCTCTTCTTTGGGGCAGCCCCTGGGATACTGGAACGCTGCTAAAAGTCGAGGACTACCTGTACAGGGTCTGCTGGAGCAGGAGGCTGGATTAGAAGACCTTCTCCTCAGCCAGAATAGTTGGCTGGGTAATTCTGGGACTTGAAATCCTTGCCTCATAAAATGACTGAGATTGAGAAACCGCTGGTTTAGCATGATGGGCGAAGACATATTAGGTCTCAAACCCTTTTATTCCTCACTCAGCTTTGGACCTCACGGTAAAACCCGCCACATTGTCTGCTCCAACAAAAGAGCTGCGTCCTCAACGCAACCCAGCTACGTACTTTTCGCAGTTGCTCTATCACCAAAACATCTTCTTCCTGCAGGGTGGAATCATGGTTATCGGCGACGTCATCTGAGCAATTAACCGGAGTTGATGCAGAAGCCGGCAGCGACGTCACGGCTAAAAAAAGGCAAAATTATCGCCATTAACACTCCACACCAATCGCTATCACTACCACTATAATAGGGCAGACACGTTAATAGTACAGGGGGGTCCTTGACGTAAAACAGTTCGTTTAATGACTGTCCGAAGTTACAACCGCTTTGAAAAAAAGTGACTGGTGGTCAGTTTTCACACTTAGCGACGGATGCTGCATCCCCACAGCCATGTCATCAAAATCCAGATGCTTGGCAACTGACTCGTATTTATGATGGTCGCAGTGTCCCGGGGAAGTCACGTGGTTCCCTTTTGCGACTTCCTGACAAGCAAAGTCAATGGGGGAAGCCAGATTCACTTAACGACTGTGTGACTAACTTAACAGCAGCGATTCACTTAACGACAGTGGCCAGAAAGGTCATAAAATGAGACAAAATTCACTTTACAAATGTCTCACTTAACAACAGAAAGTTTGGGCTCAACTGCGGTCACAATTCAAAAGCTGTCAGTACACTTTAGTGTCCTGTCCAATGAAGGAGCTTCGAAAATGTTCACTATTGATCTAAGTCAGGGGGTCTTCAAACTTGGCCCTTTTATGACTGGTGGACTTCAACTCCCAGAATTCCTCAGCCAGGCCTGGGAGTTGAAGTCCACCAGTCATAAAAGGGCCAAGTTTGAAGACCTGTCTTAAATCTAACAAACAAAATGGAGGCTGGCTGAGGGATTCTGGGAGCTGAAGTCCACAAGTCATCAAAGGGCCAAGTTTGAAGACCCCTGTCTTAAATCTAACAAACAAAATGGAGGCTGGCTGAGGAATTCTGGGAGTGAAAGTCCACAAGTCATAAAAGGACCAAGTTTGAAGACCCCTGTTTTAAATCTAACAAACAAAATGGAGCCTGGCTGAGAAATTCTGGGAGTTGAAGTCCACCAGTCATAAAAGGGCCAAGTTTGAAGACCCCTGTCTTAAATCTAACAAACAAAATGGAGGCTGGCTGAGGAATTCTGGGAGTTGAAGTCCACCAGTCATCAAAGGGCCACGTTCGAAGGCCCCCGTCTTAAATCTAACAAACAAAATGGAGGCTGGCTGAGGAATTCTGGGAGTAGAAGTCCACAAGTCATCAAAGGGCCAAGTTTGAAGACCTCTGTCTTAAATCTAACAAACAAAATGGAGGCTGGCTGAGGAAGTCTGGGAGTTGAAGTCCACCAGTCATAAAAGGGCCAAGTTTGAAGACCCCTGGCCTAGATCAGTGTTTTTCAACTTTAAGATCTGTGGACTTCGATCAGCAGCTGAAATCCACATTTTTCATTCATGCACGACTGCTCTTATTTGACTGTTGGCAGCTAATTTTTAGTGTCCCACTTTGGCACCGAGCATCGTAAAGGGACACAGCTTGGGCCCCACCGTGGAGCCCAGAGGTTGGCCCCGGTCGTGCTCTTTGACTTACCTCTGTTTGCTTCCTCCCTGGTAGCATTTCGAAAAAGGAAGCTTTCGGGACGCTGAGGAGTCCCTCTGTAGGAAGGAGGGGCAGCTGGGCCAGGATACGGGGCAGAGAGGTGAACTAAAGGGAGACGTGGAAGGATGGGGCGGGGTGGGGGGGGTAGGAGGAGGAGGGGGGGGAGAAGAAAAGCAAAATCCTTATCCTTACAAAGGGAACCGAACCATAGGAAGTCCTAGAGTTACAAGCGTTTGTTTGGTGACGGTTCAAAGTTACAACCGATTTAAAACTGGTCCTCGCATTTACGACTGTTGCACCCCCCCCCCAGTGGACCATGCAATCAAGATTTGGAAGCTAGGCAACTAGCATGTATTTACAATGGTTGCAGTCCCAGAGTCATGTGATCACCATTTGTAACCTTCCCAGAGAGCATGAAAGCCAGCTGGGTGACTTTGGGTTAATAACTAGGAGACAGTGAGTTCTAGTCCTGCCTTAGAGATGAAAGTCAGCCGGGTGACTTTGGGACAGTCACTAGGAGACAGTGAGTTCTAGTCCTGCCTTAGGGGTGAAAGCCAGCCGAGTGACTCTGGGATAATAACTAGGAGACAGTGAGTTCTAGTCCTGCCTTAGGGATGAAAGTCAGCCGGGTGATTTTGGGCTAATCACCAGGAGATGGTGAGTTCTAGTCCTGCCTTAGAGATGAAAGCCAGCTAGGTGACTTTGGGCCAGCCCTTTTTCTCTCTCAACCCAAGCCAACTCACAGGGTTGTCATTGTGGGAAAAATAGGAGGAAAAAGGAATATTAGGTATGTGTGTTGCCTGGAGTCAATTATTAAGATATAAAGGCAGGATAAAAATCAATAAATGAAATCATAGAATTAAATAAAATCACAAATTAAAGTCATAAATAAAACAAAATAAAATAACACCAAGTAAAACAAAGTAAAATAAATAGACTAAACCAGAGGGAGGCAACCTTGGCTTTTATGACTGGTGGACTTCAATTCCCAGAATTCCTGAGCCAGCCATGCTGAGGGTAAAAGGAGAAGTTTCCAAGCTGAGCCATGCTGGCTCAGGAATTCTGGGAGTTGAAGTCCACGAGTCATAAAAGAGCCAAGGTTTCCTACCCCTGGCCTAGGCTGCTTTATGACTCGTGGACTTCAACTCCCAGAATCCCTGAGCCAGCCATGCTGAGGGGAAAGGGAGAGGATTCCAAGCTGAGCTATGTTTGCTCAGGAATTCTGGGAGTTGAAGTCCACGAGTCATGAAGGGGCCATAGTTCCCCCATGCTGGCTGAGGAATTCTGGGAGTTGAAGTCCATAAGTCATGAAGGGGCCATAGTTCCCCCATGCTGGCTCAGGAATTCTGGGAGTTGAAGTCCGCGAGTCATGAAGGAGCCATAGTTCCCCCATGCTGACTCAGGAATTCTGGGAGTTGAAGTCCACGAGTCATAAAAGAGCCAACCCCTGGACTAGACTAGACTAATAAAATAAATAAACCAACCAGGAGGCATTTGGAAACCAGAAATGCTGGGTGGTTGGGGACTACTTTGATTTCAAAGGACAGGCAGTCAGAGATACGTTGTGATTGCTGTTTTAGGTAGCCATCCCTGAAGGTTATAGGAGATAAGCTCAGGAACACGTGTTCTCAGCTAGAATGGTGGTCCACCCTGTCCACCCTTATTTACTGGACTGTCTCCTGCTAACTCGCTAGGTTAATGTAGAAATATAATCCCCCCCCAGAAGGCCTAGTGATGGACAATTTCATTATTATCATCTGGACAAGATCCAGAATTCTGACAAGGACTTTCTGATGTTGGCCCCTTCCTTGTTTACCTGTTTGAGAAGTGGGTGAATTCGGTGAGATGGTGGATCGGTCCTCGCTCTGTGGATCGAAGAGAGAGAGAGAGGTGAAGGTCTCAAGACATTCCGCTGACACTCAAATGCAGAATAGCAAGAATATCCTTTTGGAAGAGGAAAGGTAAAACTAGCGTGCAGATTCTCGGGAGAGAAAAAAGGACATTGTCTAAAAGAAATTGTCCCAAAGAAGCAGCCAACACTGTGAGTAGTTTAATAAGGGAGAGCAACGTCCCCCTTCTATTGAATGTAGAGGAACAAAAGCCGCGACAGAAAAGTGCGTCTGCTAAGTCAGCCAGAGGAAAAGCAAGTCCTAATTACTGGCGAGAAAAATAAAAATAAAAATAAAGCAGAAACGTTAACGGTGTACCAAGTGTTCACCAAAGCCAGTGTTTCTCAACCTTGACCATTTTAAGGCATGTGGACTTCAACTCCCAGAATTCTACAGCCAGCCCTGCTGGCTGTGGAATTCTGGGAGTTGAAGTCCACATGCCTTAAAATGGTCAAGGTTGAGAAACACTGACCAAAGCCAAAGAAAACACTTTTGAGACAGTCCCGGGGAAGCCAGATTCACTTAAACAGCCGTGTTTACAACTTAACAAATGCCGTGATTCACTTAACAACCGGGGTGAGGAACGTCGTAAAATGGGGCAAAGTTGACTTCACAACGGTCTCGGTTAGCAGTGGAAATTTTGGGCTCAGTTGTGGTCGTTAAGCTGAGGACTCCCTGAGCTGCTTCATTTCACCGTCATGAAACAAAAATCCGAACTCGGCGTAATTTAAAACATCGCTCTGCTCATTTCCAAGCAGGTGTCACTGAGGTAAATTTTTGATCCTTTCGGCACGGGACACCTTCCTGCATCGGATTTTTTTTTAATTTATTTAGAAAACCTGGAACCTATACAGGTAGTCCTCGACTTATGACGGTTTGCTTAGTGACCGTTCAAAATTACAATGGCACTAAAAAAGTGAGCTACTTTTACACTTCTCACCGTTGCCACCTCCCCCGTGGTCACGTGATTTACACTCGGATGCTGGTGAGCCGACTCACATTTGTGATGGTTGCCGTATCTCACGTGATCCCCTTTTGCAACCTTCTGACAAACCAAGCTAATGGGGGAATCCAGATTCGCTTAACGGCCATGTTACTAATTTAACAACTGCAGCGATTCATTTAGCAACAGCGGCAAGGAAAGTCGTAAAACAGGACAAAACTCACTTAGCAACAGAAATTTTGGGCTCAACTGTGTAAGTCGAGGACTGCCTGTGTTCTTTGCAACGAGGGCTGAACTGGAGTAACACGGCCAGGGCTGGTGCTGTACCAATTTTACTCTGGCAGTTTTTCTATGCTACCGGCAGCCGCCGTGGGGCAGGGCCGGAAAACCCCAATTCGACATTCAAATGCGCAACGTTCAAATCCATCCTTCAGCCCTTTCCCTTCCCCCTCTTGTGCGTGTACAAAAACACACACTCCCAAACCACCAAAATACAATTTTTTTATCCTCCTTTATCTACATTTTCAATGATGGCACTCTATTCCAGGTTCATTGTACTTTATTCCAATGTCGTTTTAAAGTGTCTTTTGTCTAATTCCGTTTTAAATTGCTTTTATCAAATGTTAGTTAATAATTTGTTTCTGGAACTTTGCACTTTGAGAGGACCCAAGGGCTGATCCATCAATCAATCGATCGATCAATCAATCAAAGTGACCGTCCACCCAAACTTTAGTCCCCAGCAGACTGACGGCAATGCAGTTTGGAACAACTGGAGAGAGACAAGAGTTGATTGCAGCTAAAAGCACCAGGTGCTTCCAAAACAGTAGTTTTAGCCATCGCCACAATGCTACAACGGGCAATCAGAAAGCCTGCCGAGTGTGGAGGGAGGCGACTAAACCCACAACTTTTATTTTGGTGCACGCAACGGGCGGAATGTGGAGCTGGCTGCAAGGACCAGGCTAGTTTCATATAGCCGGCTTCTCTTCTCGGATCTGGTTTCGGGCCATTTCCTTAACCCGAGAGCTAAAATCATTGTTTAGAGCTGGACAAACGTCTTGGCTGGCCAGGCCCTGTGATGTAAGAAGGGAAGTGGGAAACAAAAGCCAGCCACACAATAATCCATTATGCTGGGAAAGCCCTGCCCCCACCGCCCCCAGCAGAAAAGGACCAAGAGACTGAAAGCAATCCGAAAAACTGGTGCTGGGAAGAGCTGGAATTGCTCAAGCCCTGTCTGCAGCGAGACCATTTGCAAAACAAAAGTTAAACTTTGGTTTGGCCAATTAAGGTGCTGGCTTAGAAACCAGGAGACAGTAAATTCTGGTCTTGCCTTAGGCAGGAAAGCGGGCTAGGTAACTTTGGGCCAATCACCAGGAGACGGGGAGTTCTAGTCCCGCCTTAGGCATGAAAGCCGGCTGGGTGACTTTGGGCCAATCCCCAGGAGACGGGGAGTTCTAGTCCCGCCTTAGGCATGAAAGCCGGCTAGGTAACTTTGGGCCAATCACCAGGAGACGGGGAGTTCTAGTCCCGCCTTAGGCATGAAAGCCGGCTGGGTGACTTTGAGCCAATCCCCAGGAGATGGGGAGTTCTAGTCCCGCCTTAGGCAGGAAAGCGGGCTGGGTGACTTTGGGCCAATCCCCAGGAGACAGGGAGTTCTAGTCCCGCCTTAGGCAGGAAAGCTGGCCGGGTGACTTTGGGCCAATCACCAGGAGACGGTGAGTTCTAGTCCCGCCTTAAGCATGAAAGCTGGCTGGGTGACTTTAGGCCAATCCCCAGGAGACGGTGAGTTCTAGTCTTGCCTTAGGCATAATAGCCAGCTGGGTGACTCAAAGGCACACAAACACACTTATGCACTGTTTGTTACTATATCTAAAATGGTTGGTTGCCATCAGACAGATATTTAGACTGGATCTGGCTTTTTTGTCCACCTATCGAGCCGTTCCAAGGACCTGGAAGAGGCAGATGTTGATGTCTGATGGGGATCAAAGTATCACTGCAAAATGGAAGCTGCTCCAAGCCAAGCTGCCTTTTGCAACTGACCAATGGCGGCTTCGTCAATGCCGGTGGGTGTTCAAGTAGTGCTCCAGATGTTTTGGGATCGTGCCCAAGCTGCCTATCGCTATTGTTACTACCTTTGTTTTCTTTTCCACAGTCACTATTATTATTATTATTGATATGTGTTTATGTTGTATGTCACCCAGACTCACTTGGGCTGAGTTGGGGCAGCCTTATAAGAAGGAAGGAAGGAAGGAAGGAAGGAAGGAAGGAAGGAAGGAAGGAAGGAAAGGAAAGGAAGGGAAAGGAAGGAAGGAAGGAAGGAAGAAAGAAAGAAAGAAAGGAGGGAAGGAAGGAAGTAGGGGAGGAAATAAAGAAGAAAGAGGGAGGAAAAAAGAAAGGGAGGGAAAGGGAGGAAAGGAAGGAGAGCAGAAAGTAAGAGGTAGGGAGGAAGAGAAAGAAAGAGAGAAAGAAAAGAAAGAAAGAAAGAGGGGAGGGAAGGAAGGAAGGAAGTAGGGGAGGAAAGAAAGAAGAAAGAGGGAGGAAAAAAGAAAGGGGGGGAGGAGAGGAAAGGAAGGAGAGCAGAAAGTAAGAGGTAGGGAGGAAGAAAAAGAAAGAAAGAAAGAAAGAAAGAAAGAAAGAAAGAAAGAAAGAAAGAAAGAAAGAAAGAAAGAAAGGAGGGAGATGGCAATGAATTGTAATGTATCTTCTTTCTTAATTCAGTGGACTATAGTGGATTGCACGAGTCTTATGGTGCAAACTGGCTTCACTTTTCCTAAGTATGATTAAGATTTAAAATGCTATCCAGCTGAATCGGGGCTAAGACTAAACCGGCATTCTGTCAACTCAGATTTGAAATGATTTCTCCAACCTCTTTTCTACTTCTGCAAGAAAGAAATACAGAGCTGCGTCTCGTCGCGGTTCCTTTCTTTCCAGGATCAAGCTGAGATGTCTGAGCTGACAATAGGAAGCCTTTGAGTGAAGAGGAGACAAAAACACACAACACAACACAGAACGCATGCGAGCCGTAAACATGCAGGAGCAAGCAGATCGCTACAGCAAAGAAGCTGGATTTCAGCAGCTATTTTTAAGATGCCAAAGGGTCTCTAAAGGAGGACGGAAATAGCATAAAACATGGAAACAGGGTTACGTGAAAAGTGGACAATCTTTAAAACGGGATCTGGACAAGAGTAGTGACATCACTAACTGAAACCGATTTAAACCAAGGGTTTAGTCTTCATGAGGTAGATTTGATCACCAAAACTGGTGATCAACATTAATGGTTGGAATGACTTTTACAAACACACACACACACGAAACTTAACAATAAAAAAAATAGAGAGAGCGGTGTTTCTCAACTTTGGCTGTTTGAAAATAAATGTCTCGACTTCAACTCCCAGAATTCTCTGGCTAGCCTTGCCGCTAGGGAATTCTGGGAGTTGATGTCCACCCTTCATAAACAGCCAGGCTTGAGACACACTGCTGTGAGACTATCACATTCAACATAAAGAGAATCCAAATCTGCCTTGCTTTGTCACAATCATGGAAAGCTTTTCCCAATAATAGATGGGTATCCATTTACACTTCCATCCCTGGGCCAAATTTTGGCAGAATAAACAAAATCTATTGGACATTTGTCTGTTTGTTACTGGCATGCAAAATGTTTTTTTTTTAAATTGCTTTGTGCCCATATATATAGTTGAAACAACTGCTTCAACCTTGACATGGGTATCCCAATGAGATTGTCATTGCTCTAGAAGTGGGCGTTATTTTTTTTTGTTAATTTATTAAATTTATACGCCGCCCATCTCACCGATAAAAGTGACTCTAGGAGATCTGAGCTGAAAAACACTCGTGGGATGGTCAGAGAGCCCACGTTTCAAGCTCAAAAAGTTTGGCATTTGGAAAAAAAAATAAGTATATTCCTAGTGCTTGTAATGAATTGGTTATCCACCAATTGTCTATGGCAGGGGTAGACAATCTCGGCTCTTTTATGACTGGTGGACTTCAACTCCCAGAATTCCTGAGCCAGTATGGCTCAGCTTGGAAACCTCTCCCTTTCCCCTCAGCACGGCTGGCTCAGGAATTCTGGGAGTTGAAGTCCACCAGTCATAAAAGAGCCAAGGTTGCCTACCCCTGGGTTAGTCCATAAAAGGCACAATGGATAAAGGTAGTCCTTGCGTTAAGACCACAGTTGAGCCCCTTCATGACTCGCGGACTTCAACTCCCAGAATTCCTCAGCCAGCATGAGGGAACTATGGCCCCTTCATGACTTCTGGACTTCAACTCTCAGAATCCCTGAGCCAGCATGGCTCAGCTTGAAAATCTCTCCCTTTCCCCTCAGCAAGGTTGGCTCAGGAATTCTGGGAGTTGTCCACGAGTCATAAAAGAGCCAAGGTTGCTTAGCCCCAATCTATACCAAAACCAGGGGTGGGCAACTACAGTCCTGTGGACTTCAGCTCCTAGAATTCCTGAGCCAGCATGGGGAAACCATGGCCCCTTCATGACTTGCGGACTTCAACTCCCAGAATTCTTCAGCCAGCCGTGCTGAGGGGAAAGGGAGAGGTTTCCAAGCTGAGCCATGCTGGCTCAGGAATTCTGGGAGTTGAAGTCCACCAGTCATAAAAGAGCCAAGGTTGCCTACTCCTGTTCTATGGGATGGGCAGAAATTTTGAGTTTACAGGATTAGCCCTCCTGAGTAAAGTTGTACAGGCAGTCCTCAACTTACAACCGTTCGTTTAGTGACCATTCAAAGTTACAACGGCACTGGAAAAAAGTGACTTTGGACTACTTTTCACACTTACGACCGTTGCAGCACCCTCTGTGGTCACCTGATCAAAATTTAGCCACTTGGCAACTGACTCGTATTTGCAACGGGTGGCACTGTCTCGGGAATCATGTGATCTCCTTTTGCAACTTTTCCGGGCAGCGTCCGACAAGCAAACCCAATGGGGGAAGCCTGATTCCTTTAATGACCCTGTGATTCACTTAGCAACTGCAGTGATATGCTTAACGGATAGGGCCAAGAAAAAAAGGTCACAAAAGGGGGCAAAACCCACTTAACAGCTGTCTTGCTTAGCGACGGAAGTTTTGGCTCCAATTGTGGTTATTAAGTCGAAGACTACCTGTATTTCTAATAGGACATGCAGGCAGTCCTTGACTTACGACCGATGCTTAACGATTGTTCAAAGTTGTGACGGAGTTAAAAAAAGAACACCCAATAAATGACTTACAACCTGAAGTTACAACTGCCTCCACTCTCCTACAGTCATGTGACCCTATTTTGGTCGCCTAGCAACCAGCTCAAATTTACAACCACTTGCAGGGCTCCAGGTTCACGTGATCACATTTTGTGGCACCCAAAAAAAAAAAAAAAAAAAAAAACCCATTGGATAAGCTGGATTCGCTTAACGACCATGGTTACTCGCTTAACGATCAACTTTAAAAAAACAGTTGTCAAATGGAATCTGGTTCGGGTGGAATGACTCAACTTAATGACTTGCAACCGAAATATCCCTGGGGCTCAGGTGTGGTCATTAAGGCGAGGACTGCCTGTATCAAGACAAAAAGTGTCTCTCGCGATGCTCTTCCAGACTCCAAATCACGACGGGGAGAAAAGCTCAGAAGAAGGTATAGGGTTTCCTGCCTGAGCAGGGGGTTGGACTAGATGACCTCCAAGGTCCCTTCTAACTTTTTTTAAATTATTATTATTATGGATCATCGCACCGTCAGCCAGATGTTCAGACTGGATTTGGCATTTTTGTCTACCTCTCGAGTCCTTACCCAGGACCTGGGATAGGCAGACGTGGATGTTTGTTGGTATTACAGATCTCGTCGCAGGATGGAAGCGGTTCCTAGTAAGGCTGCCTTTTGCAATTGACTGATGGCGAATTTGTCAATGCCGATGAAAGTGTTCAAGTGGTGCTCCAGATGTTTTGGGATTGCACCCAAGGCGCCTATGACTATTGGTACTACCCTTGCTTGCCTTTGCCACAGTCTTATTTATTTATTTATTTATTTATTTATTTATTTATTTATTTATTTATTTATTTATTTAGGAGACTTATATACCACTTTAAGTGCAAGCACTCTCTAAGCGGTGTACACCAGTAAGCAATGTATATATATATTTACATTGCCCGCAACAAACTGGGTCCTCATTTTACCTACCCCGGAAGGATGGAAGGCTGAGTCAACCTTGAGCCGGTGAGATTTGAACCGCTGACCTGCTGAACCCAGTCAGCTAAAGTGGCCTGCAGCACTGCACTCTAACTGCTGCGCCACCTCGGCTCTTTCTATTTCTATTTGTAGGTCTTTGTATTTTGTTATCTTCTCCAGTTCTTTCTCGTCTATTATTATTATTACTATTATGATTATCATGAACAGGGAACGCTGGCTACACCCAGCTCTATAATCATGATTTGCCAGGAGCATGTGATGGGGGAAAGGAAGGGAAGCCATGTTTTATGCTATTGGGGGGGGGGGTTGCGTAGACGAGCTGCCTCCTCTGAACCCAGGCTACCAAGACATGCCAATTTTGCCCCAAGAGGCCAACACCCAAGCAGGCTACGGCGTGCAGGATTCTTACCACCAGCAAGGCACTGTCATCAGTGTGCTGACACCTTCGGGATGGAAAGGAGCACTGGGGACGTGGGAGAGATGTTCGGGTCAGTAACAAAGAACACCACAACACCGCGTAGGCAGACAAGCACAGACATCTGGAATGAATGAGGCTTTTTATGTGGAAAGCGCAGGGCGCTTCCTCAGCGAAGTACAAAGGAAGCCAGGATTTCGGAGGGGGGGAACCCCCACTAGCTTTTTAATAAATGTAAAGTTCTACACCTAAGCAAGAAAAACCAAATATACAGGTGTAGTAGAGTGAGTACCGTGCTCAATAGTAGCAACTATGAGAGGGACCTCAGAGTCCTAGTGGACAATCCCTTAAACAGGAGCCAGCCGTGTGCTGCAGCTGCCAAAAAAGCCAACACAGTGCTGGGCTGCATGAACAGAGGGATAGAATCAACATCACGTGAAGTGTTAATACCACTTTACAAGGCCTTGGTAACGCCACACTTGGAATATGGCATCCAAATGTAAAAAAAGATGGAAAGAGTGCAGAGAAGAGCAACAAAGAGGATCAGGGGACTGGAGGCTAAAACATACAAGGAATGGTTGCTGGAATTGGGAATGTCCAGTTTAATGAAGAGAAGGAGGAGGGGTGATATGATAGCTGCGTTCCAATATCTCAGGGGCTGCCCTAAAGAAGAGGGAGTCAAGCCCTTCTCCAAAGCACCTGAAGGCAGAACAAGAAGCAACGGATGGAAACTCATCAAGGAGAGAAGCAACCTGGAACTAAGGAGAAACTTCCTGACAGAACAATTAACCAGTGGAACTACCTGCCTCTAGAAGCTGTGAATGCTCCAACACTGGAAGTCTTTAAGAAGAGGCTGGACAGCCATTTGTCTGAAATGGTATAGGGTTTCCTGCCTGAGCAGGGGGTTGGATTAGATGACCTCCAAGATCCCTTCCAACTTTCTACTACTACTACTACTACTACTACTACTACTACTACTACTACTACTACTCATCACCACCATCATCATCATAATAATCATAATAATAATATCTCAGCATTTCACCCATCTGCAATTGAATCCCGAGCTGCGGCTGCTTCCAAAATGCAGCACGGCTCCAAAAATTCCAAAATTTTCCAGCAAAGAATATTATAGAGCTGGAAGGGAGCTTCCAGTCCAGTGTTTCCCAACTGTGACAATTTTAAGGCATGTGGACTTCAACTCCCAGAATTCCACAGCCAGCAATGCAAGGTTGAGAAACACTGTAAAATCTAGTCCAACTATCTGTAAAATCTAGTCCAACTACGAGCCGAGGTGGCGCAGCAGTTAGAGTGCAGTACTGCAGGCCACTTTAGCTGACTGTGTTCAGCAGGTCAGCGGTTCAAATCTCACCGGCTCAAGGTTGACTCAGCCTTCCATCCTTCCGGGGTAGGTAAAATGAGGACCCAGATTGTTGGGGGCAATGTAAATATATATATATATATATATATATATATATATATATATATATATATATATATATATATATATATATATATATATATATATATACACATACATACATACATACATACACATACACATACACATACACATACATACATTGCTTACTGGTGTACACCGCTTAGAGAGTGCTTGCACTTAAAAGCGGTATATAAGTCTCATAAATAAAATAAATAAATAAACTGTCTGTAAAATCTAGTCCAACTGTCTGCTCAGGCAGGAGACCCTGTACAATTGGGAGAAGGGGCTGTCCTGTCCTCCAGGGATGGAGCAACTTCTGAGGGCAACTTCCCGTTCCTCGAGTTAATTGTTCTCACTGTCAGGAAACAGCTCCTTAATTCCAGGTTGCTTCTCGCCTTGACTGGCTTCCATCGTTGTTTCTGGTGCTTTGGAGAATAGGTGGACACCCCCCTTTCTTTGGGGCAGCCCCTCAAATATTGGAAAACTGCTATCGTGTTGTCCCCCCGGCCAGTCCTTCTTTTCTCTAGACCAGTGGTTCTCAACCTGTGGGTCGGGACCCCATTTGGGGTCGAACGACCATTTCACGGGGGTCGCCAAACAACACCGTCCGCCATTTTTTTCCCCTTTTTCCTTAGCTGTGCTACTCCCTTTAATTCTATTGGCTTTTGAAAGCCAATAGAAGAGACTCTCTTGAATAGAGTCTAATTCTATTGGCTTTTAAAAGCCAATAGGAATCGTCCAGGCTGTCCCTGCCCTGCTGAGCCCGCCAAAAGTCCCATTCTGCAAACGGTGCTCACCAGTTGAGTAGTCCTTGACTTACGATCGGTTGGGGGGTCGCGGCATTAAAAAGGTTGAGAACCACTGCCCTAGACTGTCCATACCCAAATCCTGCAGCCGTTCTTCGTATGTTTTAGTCTCCAGGCCTTTGATTCATCTGAGTTGCTCTTCTCTGCCGTTTTTCCAAAGTCGCGACGTAATATTTAGGAAAGAGACACAAGACACAGTTGGGAGGCACAAAAACAACCATGAGAAGAAAAAAACAGGACGACTGAAACCAGAATGGAAAGCCTTAAAGGGTAAGGATTTGATCTGTCGCCTCATGATACCAAAACTACTTTCCTTTAGTAAAATATATATATATATATATATTTTAAAAAAAACCACAACTCTGTTCAAACGGTGTAGAAAAACGTATTGCAGGCAAAAAGCAAATGGGGAGAAAGACTGGAATGAGAACCAACTGGCGTATCAGCCTGGAGTGCTTGGAAGCTTTCAAGCGCACCGTGGCTTGCAAAATTCAGAGGAGAGCACATGCTTGTGAGGCAGGTGTGTTCCGAAGCAACTGCGTGCGCAGGGCAGGTGCAACAATATCAAGCAGAGGCAGGCTTTTCCATTGTGCCACTAGGTAAGAATATTGGTAGCTCAGGGTTCAACTGTGGGGGTCCTGGGTGCTCTCTGAGCTGGGTGGTTTTCCTGCAGACGTTTCATGACCCAGCTAGGTAACGTCATCAGTGCTGGAATGAGAGAGGAGGAGGAGGAGGACTATGGGGTCCTGGGTGCTCTGTGAGCTGGGAGGTTTTCTTGCAGATGTTTCATTGACCAACTAGGTAACAACATCAGTGCAAGAAGGGAGTGGTGTTTGCTAGGAGGAAGAGGAGGAGGAGGAGGAGCAGGACAACAACTGTGAGGTCTCTGAGCTGGGTGGTTTCCTTGCAGACATTTCATGACTCAACTAGGTAACATCATCAGTGCTAGAACGGAGGGGGCTTGCAGAGAGGAGGAAGAGGAGAAAAGAAGGAAGGAAGGAAGGAAGGAAGGAAGGAAAGAATGAAAGAAAGAAAGAAAGAAAGAAAGAAAGAAAGAAAGAAAGAAAGAAAGAAAGAAAGAAAAAAAAGAAAGAAAGAAAGGGGGAGAAGGACTGTGGGGTCCCTGGTGCTCTCTGAGCTGGGTGGTTTTCTTGCAGATGTTTCATGACCCAACTAGGCAACATCATCAGTGCTAGAAGGGAGGGGGGCTTGTGGAGAGGAGGAGGAGAAGAGAAAGAAAGAAAGAAAGAAAGAAGAAAGAAAGAAAGAAAGAAAGAAAGAAAGAAAGAAAGAAAGAAAGAGAAAGAAAGGAAAAGAAAGAAAAAGGAAGGAAGGAAGGAAGGAAGGAAGGAAGGAAGGAAGGAAGGAAGGAAGGAAGGAAAGAAAGAAAGAAAGAAAGAAAGAAAGAAAGAAAGAAAGAAAGAAAGAAAGAAAGAAAGAAAGAAAGAAAGAAAGAAAGAAAGAAAGGGAGAAGGACTGTGGGGCCCCGGGTGCTCTCTGAGCTTGGTGGTTTTCTTGAAGACGTTTCATGACCCAACTAAGTCACATCATCAGTGCTGGAAGGGAACGAACCTTACTCCCTTCTAACACTGATGACGTTACCTAGTTGGATCACGAAACGTCTTCGCTGGGTATCAAACAACGTCAATGGAACAGCCTGGCCACGGTGAGTGGCCGACCACCTTAGAGTTTTCAGGAGCAGCAGTATTTATTTGAACGACGTGGCTGGAGAGTTGGGACAGAACTATTGCCGGCATCTTCTCTTTCGTGCGTCCAGTTTGATTGTCCGCTCCAACTTTCCTTCGGTGTCCTTTCCAGGAAAAATTCAAAACAAAGGCCGAAGGAGGGGAGCAAGGGCTTAAGAGCCAACAAAGGCCAGCACTGTTAAGATTCAAATGCTGCGTTTTCATAATGACCCCATATGCTTTTCAGGCCGTTCCACCGACCCCAGGGGGGCCTTTCCCAGGAAACAGGCTGGTGGTCACAGCCCTAAGGGGCCACTCCTCTGCCTAGGAAGCTATTAGTAGAAAGAACGAAAGGGCGACAGACATCCATCAGGGCTTACCTCGCTCTCTGGAGAACTTTGCTTCCGTGGAGTCTGGGACGCCTTGAGCTTTGGAAAGAAGAAAAAAAGAACTTGCTGAGTCGGAGGGTAAACTGAGGACAGCGTTAGAAAGGAAGAGGGTGAGGAGGGAGGGAAGTCATTGAAATACGAAGGGTGGAAATTTGGGAGGGTTTCTTTCCAGCAAAACAAAGAGCTTTCATCGTTGTTTAGAATTTCTGCTCGAAGTGAGTCGGGTCGCTCCCACTCACCCACCCGTCCCCGTTTTCAGCTTCCATTCCCAGACGAAATAATAGATGGATGCATGGATGGAAAAATGTCCCAAAGATGCTTTTTTCAAGAGGCAACTGGACTGCCTTTGTTTTTCCCTGAAGACGTTTCGCTTCTCATCCCAGAAGCTTCTTCAGCTCTGACTGGAGGGTGAAGGATGGAAGGATTTATACTCCGTGCAGACCGCTGGTCGTTTGCCTCCTTTTAGAGCAGCGGTTCTCAGCCCGTGGGTCGGGACCCCATTTGGGGTCGAACGACCATTTCACGGGGGTCGCCAAACGCAGTCCGCCATTTTCCCCCCCTTTTCCTTAGCTGTGCTCCTCCCTTTTATTCTATTGGCTGTTGAAAGCCAATCGAATAGACTCTCTTGAATAGAGTCTAATTCTATTGGCTTTCCAAAGCCAATAGGAATTGTCCAGGCTGTCTCTGCCCTGCTGAGCCCGCCAAAAGTCCCAGTCTGCAAACGGTGCTGCACCAGTTGAGTAGTCCTCGACTTACGACCGGTTGGGGGTCGTGACAATAAAAAGGTTGAGAACCAATGTTTTATAGAGTCGCTGAGGCCACTTGGAGATTTATCTGTATCCTCAGGGTCACCTGAGTGGTGCAAATGGGCGTGGATGGAGGAACAGATAAACCTCCAGGTGGCCTCAACGACTCTCAGAAAGAGCACTAACGACCAGAGAACTGCAAGGAATATAAATCCTTCCATCCTCCACCATTCAGTCAGAACTGAAGAAGCTGCTTGGATGAGAAGCAAAATGTCTTCAAAGGAAAAACAAGACAGTCCCGTTGCTTTTTGAAAAAGAACATTTGGGACAACCATGATCTGGATGGACAAGATCTGCTTTACAAGGCCTTGGTAAGGCCGGACTTGGAATATGGCATCCAGGTTTGGTCACCACCATGTAAAAAAGATGCTGAGACTCTGGAACGAGTGCAGAGAAGAGCAACAAAGAGGATCAGGGGACTGGAGGCTAAAACATACGAAGGAATGGCTGCTGGAATTGGGTATGTCTAGTTCAATGAAGAGAAGGACGAGGGGGGACAGGATAGCAGCCTTCCAGTATCTCAGGGGCTGCCCCAAAAAAGAGGGAGTCAAGCTCTTCTCCAAAGCGCCTGCAGGCAGCAGAAGAAGCAACGGGTGGAAACTCATCAAGGAGAGAAGCAACCTAGAACTAAGGAGAAACTTCCTGACAGTTAGAACAATTAACCAGTGGAACCAACTGCCTCCAGAAGCTATGAATGCCCCAACACTGGAAGTTTTTAAGAAGAGACTGGACAGCTATTTTGTTTGAAATGGTCTAGGGTTTCCTGCCTGAGCAGGGGGTTGGACTAGATGACCTCCAAGGTCCCTTCTAACTCTGATTCTTATTCTATTCTTATTCTATTCTATTCTTATTCTATTCTATTCTATTCTGCATCTGAAGGCAGGACAAGAAGCAACGGATGGAAACTAACCAAGGAGAGAAGCAACCTAGAACTAAGGAGAAACTTCCTGACAGTGAGAACAATTAACCAGTGGAACCACCTGCCTCTAGAAGCGGTGAATGCGCCAACCCTGGAATTTTTTAAGAAGAGATTGAACAACCATTTGTCTGAAATGGTATAGGGTTTCCTGTCTGAGCAGGGGGTTGGACTAGATGACCTCCGAAGTCCCTTCCAACTTTATTATTATTATTATTATTAGTAGTAGTAGTAGTAGTCGTTCCTGATCTCTCATACCCAATAGTATTTCCAAAAAAAACCTCACTTCTACTACCTGGCAGGTGAGTTAGCCCTGCTATTGAAAAGTTAAGGACTTGGGACATGGTTTATTCTGAGGGCTCCTTGGTGCTCTCTGGGCCTGGTGGTTCTCTCGCAGACCTTTCATTACCCAGCTGGGCAACATCATCAATGCCAAGAGGCAGAGCCAGCTGGGAGGCGGCGTCAGAAGGTTCCTTACTTTGACAAAATCGAGCACGGCTTCCTTCTGAATCTGTTTCGTCTTCCGCTTCTCCTCCTCATAATGGAGGGCCGCCAGCTGCGCTTCCCTCCGCGTCCACTCCGCGAAGGGCTCACGCCGTTTGGGTGGGTCAGCCTCCGTGGGAACGGTCTGCGGGGAGGACACACAGAGGGACAAGGCACTGATCCAAAAGCCACGAGCCGCTTCCTTCAGAAGGTGTGGCTGTCAGAATCCAATTATATTTCATCTCTGGTTATCAAACTATAGAAAACCCCATTTTTGCCTCCCCTGGATTCTGCCATACGATGAAGGGGGCTTTATGGCCCTCACTTCCTTCCGGGTACACTTCAAAGGAACTGGAGGTGTAAATCACCCAAAGGACTAACCATAACAAGGGGGCTATTACCTTCATGTAGTTCAGTGTTTCTCAACCTTGACCATTTTAAGGCATGTGGACTTCAACTCCCAGAATTCCACAGCCAGCAGGGCTGGCTGTAGAATTCTGGGAGTTGAAGTCCACATGCCTTAAAATGGTCAAGGTTGAGAAACACTGCCATAAAGCGTTAACGATGTCATTCCATTTAATAAGTGAGTCCTGCCCGGGTGGAATATTCAAACAAATGAGAAAAGGAACGGAACGGAAGCAACAACATGACAAAAAGGGGGCTGAGATGAGCGATGTCGTTAAGTTTTTTAAAAAAATATGGTAGAAATTGATTGTTTTAACCTTCAAAAGCCCTTAGTGTAAGAATTACAGGTAATCCTTGACTTACAACCACAATTGAGCCCATAAATACAGTACACACCAGTTGCCAAGCGTCTGAATTTTGATCACATGACCACGGGGAGGCTGCAACGTCGTAAGTGTGAACAACGGGTCCTGACTCATTAGTTTCATTCACAAGTAATCAAAGGGCCAGGTTTGAAGACCCCTGTCTTAAATCTAACAAACAAAATGGAGGCTGGCTGAGGAATTCTGGGAGTTGAAGTCCACAAGTCATAAAGGGCCAAGGTGAAACCCCTGTCTTAAATCTAACAAACAAAATGGAGGCTGGCTGAGGAATTCTGGGAGTTGAAGTCCACCAGTCATAAAAGGGCCAAGGTTGAAAACCCCTGTCTTAAATCTAACAAACAAAATGGAGGCTGGCTGAGGAATTCTGGGAGTTGAAGTCCACCAGTCATAAAGGGCCAAGTTTGAAGACCCCTGTCTTAAATCTAACAAACAAAATGGAGGCTGGCTGAGGAATTCTGGGAGTTGAAGTCCACCAGTCATAAAAGGGCCAAGTTTGAAGACCCCTGTCTTAAATCTAACAAACAAAATGGAGGCTGGCTGAGGAATTCTGGGAGTTGAAGTCCACCAGTCATAAAAGGGCCAAGGTTGAAAACCCCTGTCTTAAATCTAACAAACAAAATGGAGGCTGGCTGAGGAATTCTGGGAGTTGAAGTCCACCAGTCATAAAAGGGCCAAGTTTGAAGACCCGTCTCAAATCTAACAAACAAAATGGAGGCTGGCTGAGGAATTCTGGGAGTTGAAGTCCACCAGTCATAAAAGGGCCAAGTTTGAAGACCCCTGTCTTAAATCTAACAAACAAAATGGAGGCTGGCTGAGGAATTCTGGGAGTTGAAGTCCACCAGTCATAAAAGGGCCAAGGTTGAAAACCCCTGTCTTAAATCTAACAAACAAAATGGAGGCTGGCTGAGGAATTCTGGGAGTTGAAGTCCACCAGTCATAAAAGGGCCAAGGTTGAGAAACACTGAATCGTAGTTCTCTCTGAAGTCTCCATCCAGCTGGCAGTAAGGAAAAGGGGTGGGTGGGAGTGTAACGCCTGAGACTGTTGCTGGAAGAAGGGGGTGATGGGGTGGGGCTACTGGGGAACCCCTTAAAACCTTGAAGGGGAGAGCTTGGACCCCAAGTCCTGTCTAGAACGCCTGCAACCATTTTCTCTTAAGAAAGGATGCCTGTTGGAAGAATTATTCCAAGAGTTCTGCCTTCTTAAGATGCAAAAATGGGAAAGAAATCCGTCGGACACCAGTTATACCTGATTGTAAGCGCAGGACGACGGCCCCAGGGCAGCAGAGTCTCGGCAACCCCTAGAGGAAGAGAGAAATTTAGGGGGGGGGGACAGGAGAAATGTGGGGGTGTTGACTCTTAAGTTGTGCCGGATGCTCCACAGACTGGAGCATTTATACTATGCCAGTGGTGGCGAACCTATGGCACGGGTGCCTGAGGCGGCACTCGGAGCCCTCTCTGTGGGCACACGCACCGTCTCCCCGGCCCCGCCTCCTCCCCAGCAACCCCCCCCCCCGAGGAGAGTTGCCCCTGGGCGCGCCCACGCGAAGCAGTAGAGCCAAGGACATGGTAGCCGGGCAGCGGGGATAAGACTCCGCCCTTGCGCCCCATCGCACGCAGATGATACTGCGGGGCATGGGCGGAGAGCGTGACCGCCATGATGCTGCTGGGCTGCCTGGGTGATCTGTGGCGGGCTGTGGAGGTGGTAGGTGGCCCAGTGGGCAGGGCGGAGTGGGGACGGAGGGGGGGCGGTTTTTGGGCACTCGGTCTCTAAAAGGTTCGCCATCACTGTACTATGCTCACAAGGACGCTTCACTGAGTGTAGTGGTGAAGTTACTGGTCTAGAAACCAGGAGATGGAGAGTTCTAGTCCCACCTTATGTATAGAAATGACTCTGGGCCAGCCACCAGGAGATGGAGAGTTCTAGTCTTGCCTGACGCCTGAAAGCCAGCTGGGCGACTTTGGGCCAATCACCAGGAGATGGTGAGTTCTAGTCCCGCCTTAGGTATTAAAATGAGCTGGGTGACTTTGGGCCAATCACCAGGAGACGGTGAGTTCTAGTCCTGCCCTAGGCATGAAAACCGCCTGGATGGCTTTGGGCGAATCACCAGGAGATGGTGAGTTCTAGTCCTGCCTTAGGTATTAAAATGAGCTGGGTGATTTTGGGCCAATCAATAGGAGATGATGAGTTCTAGTCCTGCCTTAAGTATCAAAACCAGCTGGTGACTTTGGGCCAATCACCAGGAGACTGGGAGTTCTAGTCCTGCCTTAGCCATAAAAACCAACTGAATAACTTTGGGACAATCAATCTCTCTCAGCCCAACCCACCTCGCAGGATTGTTGTTGTTGGGGGGGGGAAACAGGAAGAGGAAGGGATATTCCGTTTGCTGCCTTGTATTGTTTATAAAATAATAAAAGGCAGGATAAACAAAATCCAATGAATGAACGGAAAACGACTCGCCGCACGCTACACACAGCACTGTGCAGAAATTTGTATGAATACAGTTAGCATCCCAAAACTGCTTTATTTAGGATGCCTGAGCTCTGGGCAGATTATAAAGTTATGGAAAGTATTATTATTATTATTATTTTGAAAGAAATCCTCTCTGACATGGCGTTCTGTACTTTATTTAGCAAAGGATATTTTCCCCTTCAAATCCTTACCTTTCTGCCTGATCTACACAGCTCCTTAATCCTTGCTGTCGCTCCCTACCTTGCATTAAACTCAGACTTTCAGGTCGTTTTAATTCCTCTGCATCTCTGCAAACACATAAATATAGCAAAGAGAAGCCCATGGAGTAAGAAATAGGAAAGCCAAAGAAATTAAAAGTTTTGAGATATGACCAAAAGGAAATAGAGCTAAAATATAGTTTACAGGTATTCCTCGCCATACAATTATGGGAGTCAAACTATTCTCCAAAGCGGCTGAAGGCCGGACAAGAAGCAATGGATGGAAACTAACCAAGGAGAGAAGCAATCTAGAACTAAGGAGAAACTTCCTGACAGTTAGAACAATTAACCAGTGGAACAACCTGCCTCCAGAAGCGGTGAATGCTCCAACACTGAAAGTTTTTAAGAAAAGACTGGACAGCCATTTGTCTGAAATGGTATAGGGTTTCCTGCCTGAGCAGGGGGTTGGATTAGATGACCTCCAAGATTCCTTCCAACTTTTTTATTATTATTATTATTATGGATCATCGCACAGTCAGCCAGATGTTCAGACTGGATTTGGCATTTTGCCTACCTATCGAGTCCTTCCCAAAGACCTGGGATAGGCAGATGTGGATGTTTGTTGGTATTACAGATCTTGTCGCAGGATGGAAGCAGTTCCTAGTAAGGCCGCCTTTTGCAATTGACTAATGGCGAATTTGTCAATGCCGATGAAGGTGTTCAAGTGGTGCTCCAGTTGTTTTGGGATTGCACCCAAGGAGCCTATGACTATTGGTACTACCCTTGCTTGCTTTTGCCATAGTCTTTCTATTTCTATTTGTAGGTCTTTGTATTTTGTGATCTTCTCCAGTTCTTTCTCGTCTGTTCTGCCGTCTCCAGGCACTGCCACGTCCACTATCCAGACTTTTTTTTGTCTTTCTTATCGACAATTGTTAAGTCCGGGGTGTTATGTTGCAGGTGCTTGTCTGTTTGAATTCTGAAGTCCCAGAGCAGTTTAATTTAAAGGCCACTTTAGCTGATTGTGTTCAGCAGGTCAGCGGTTGAAATCTCACCGGCTCAAGGTTGACTCAGCCTTCCATCCTTCCGAGGTAGGTAAAATGAGGACCCAGATTGTTGGGGGCAATGTAATATATATAAATTTATATATATATATTGCTTACTGGTGTACACCGCTTAGAGAGTGCTTGCACTTAAAGCGGTATATAAGCCTCATAAATAAATAAATAAATTTTATCATTTTCTATGACTTTCTCTATTTTATGATCCCACCAGTTTTTGCTTACAGGCAAATGATATTTCTTGCAGATCTTCCAATGCACCATTGTTGCTACTTTGTCATGCGGCTGCTTGTAGTCAGTCTGTGCGATCTTCTTGCAGCAGCTTACCAGGTGGTCCACTGTTTCTTCAGCTTCTTTGCATAGGCGGCACTTACTGTCTGTTGCTGTCTTCTCAATTTTGACTTTGTATGCATTTGTCCTTAAGGCTTGGTCTTGTGCAGCCAGAATTAATCCCTCGGTCTCTTTCTTCAATTTTCCTGCTCTTAGCCATTGCCAGGTCTTATTATTATCTGCTTTCCCAGCTATTTTTTAATGTATTGGCCATGTAGTGCTTTGTCTTCCCATGCTTCTATTCTGTTCTTCATTTGGTCTTTCTTGTAGGCCAGTTTGGTCTCTCCAGTAGTCAGTAAGCCTTCCTGATATACTAATTTCAGTGCATCTTCATCATTGTCCTTCAGATATTCTTCATTTTTTCTTCTTCAACCATCTGATGTAGTTGCAGCATTCCACACCCACCTATTTGCCTTATTACTACTACTACTATTACTATTATTTCAGACAAGTGGCTGTCCAGTCTCTTCTTAAAAACTTCCAGTATTGGAGAAGGGGAGGGAGGGAGGGAGGCTAAGTGGAAAACCTGACAGGATGAAGAAACTTTTATCCAGCATCGGTTGACCTGATCTTTTTTTACACAAGATGCCCAATGCAGAGTGCGAATAAAAAGCCATTTTAGCATCCCACACGTTCGCTTGTTCTAATTTAAGCATCTCCGATCCTGGGTCAGGATCTGTCGCCGTTGTTACCATTTTTGGTGAAGTAATTAAAAAACCTTTCAACCGTGGCTTAAGTTCCTCACTGGCCTTTCGCATTCTCTGTTAACATCTGGATCAGGTGCAGAGAGGACAGGATCCTCCCATCTTAAAGCAAACACTCCACTGTGGTCCAAAGGGAGTATATTATATTAAAACCACCCTCTCTGTTCCAGCATACTGAAGCAGCCCTTCTCAAAGCCCACTTAACAAAGTTCTCCCCCTCTCTGAGGCTCTTGGATAGGCTGGCAGTCACCATGGAAAGCTCCTAGCACAGTAAAAACTTGGAGCAATATTGCCATATATGGAGAATTAGGAGGCTGGATGAGGAACTCTTTTTATTTCTGCCTCAAAAATAGACGAGGCCTCTAAGGTGGTCAGGTTGTAGCAGTCGCTTCTCTCAGCCCTTTTATGACTGGTGGACTTCAACTCCCAGAATTCCTCAGCCAGGTGTCTTAAATTAAGGTGACCAACTGTCCTCCTTTAGGGAGGACAGTCCTCCTTTTGTAAGTTCTGGCCTCCCTCAAAAAGTGTCCTCCTTCATGTCCTCCTTTTCGATATTTGAAGACTAATCTGCAGGGCTGTTTTTCCCCTCATAGAATGCTCAGAACGGTGTTCCGGCACCTTTTTTTGATGGGTTTTTTTTTCAACTTTTGCATGAGCTGTGCTACTCCCATTATTGGCTTTTGAAAGCCAATAGGAATTGCTGCTGAGTGCGCCAAAACACCCGGCTGGCAAACTTTGCACATGCAAGTTGTCTGTATTATTGTTGCAATGAATAAAACGTTTCTTTTATTTATGATATTTTTTTTTTCAATTTATTTGTGTCCTCCTTTTCATTGTAAAAAAGTTGGTCACCTTACTTAAATCCCTGTCTTAAATCTAACAAACAAAATGGAGGCTGGCTGAGGAATTCTGGGAGTTGAAGTCCACCAGTCATGAAAGGGCCAAGTCTGAAGACCCCTGTCTTAAATCTAACAAACAAAATGGAGGCTGGCTGAGGAATTCTGGGAGTTGAAGTCCACCAGTCATGAAAGGGCCAAGGTTGAAAACCCCTGTCTTAAATCTAACAAACAAAATGGAGGCTGGCTGAGGAATTCTGGGAGTTGAAGTCCACCAGTCATGAAAGGGCCAAGGTTGAAAACCCCTGTCTTAAATCTAACAAACAAAATGGAGGCTGGCTGAGGAATTCTGGGAGTTGAAGTCCACCAGTCATCAAAGGGCCAAGTTTGAAGACCCCTGTTCTAAATAAATAGTCGGCTTTCACATGTATCTACACTTCTAACTGGAGCCACCAGTAAAAGAGGCTGGATGAGAGACGCAAAACACAAGGGGATGGAAACCTCACAAGGAGTTTTATCAGCAACTGTAAATTCTACCGTAGGACCCCAGCATTCTGCTCCTGAGTAACACCAGTTTGGGGATTTATTTATTTATTTTCCAGTTTGTTTTTTTTTACAAGTAACTCAAGATGGAGAATACACACAATATGCCCCCCCCTCCTATTTTCCCGATAATAACTCTAACTAACCCAGTCAGTTTTCATGCCTAAGGCGGGACTAGAACTCACCGTCTCCTGGTGATTGGCCCAAAGTCACCCAGCCGGCTTTCATACGTAAAGTGGGACTAGAACTCACCGTCTCCTGGTGATTGGCCCAAAGTCACCCAGGCAGCTTTCATACGTAAGGCAGGACTAGAACTCATCATCTCCTGGTAACTGACCCAAAGTCACCCAGCCGGCTTTCATGCCTAAGACGGGACTTGAACTCCCCGTCTCCTGGTTTCTAAGCCAGCATCTTAACCACCACACCAAAGTGGCTCTCTTCTATCTTAAAAAAAAATATGAGCTGGAAATTCTGTGTTCTATATTAAGTTTAAGCTATCACTCACAGGTTCTTAAACTACTATGAAATAAAAGTTCTCACCTATTTTGATGGAGGTATTTTCTTGCATCTTCCGACCTAGGAAATTCTCGGCTGTTTGTAAGTTTTACGGGTGAACCCTTCATAAAGAGAGAAAAAAAAAAATAAGATTACTACAATCAACATTCAAGAACACTTGCAAAGCTCCCCCTCCAAAACTTTGATTCCCACGAAATCTTCCATTTCCATCTGTCTCGACTGACCGCGTTGTTTAAAATACGCTTGAAATATTTGAAGCAAACAAAAATGATCAACAAGCAGAGAAGAAAGATCGGGCTGCTTCCTGTATACAGATCCCAACAAAGGCAGGGAATCCTAAGTTGAGGGCCGGAATTTCCAATAAGCAAGACGGTTGTTGTGAACCATGCCTGATTTTACAGCTTTTGCCCCAGTTGATCAATGAATCAATGCAGTTGTTAACTGAATCACTTAGTCACTAAGTGACTCCAACTGTTCTGTCCCAGTCTACGTGAGTCCTTGTTTTGCTCACAAGGAGAAACCCCTCTTCCAAGAAACAGACAAGAACCGCAAGAAAACAACCCCTTTTATTCTCACAGACCTGAGTCCATATCCAAGGCAAACAAACACAGTTCACAGAAACTCAGTTCCTTAACACAAACGGTTGCCTTCCACAACCAGCACCTCCCACACCTTCCCTTTTATTATGCAGCCCAGGCTTCCTAATGCCTTCTCCTTTGATTTTGGAGCTGCCCCATTGCATTCCTCTGTCCTACTCGCTTCTCTTGCATCCGGGATTTGTCCCAGCTGTTCTTCATCACTGTCTAACTCAGACTCCCAGCACAGCTGTGTCTCAGCCTGAGTGCAAGTAGAGGGGCCAGGCTCCTCATCCAACTGTAAGTCTTGGAGCTGCTCAGAGCCTTCCTCTGACTCTGATGTCACTCCAGGCCCCACCTCCTCCTCCTCCTCTGATTCCTCAGACTCAGCTGCCGGATCCACTGGCTGGTGAGGAATCACCCACCCCCCAATTGATTGTGCTTGCTGGAAGACAGCTGGAAAGGTCACAATTGGTGATCACATGACCCAGGGGATGGTTGGGAGTGTGACTACTGGTTGTAAGCCACTTTTTTCAATGCCGTCGTAAACTCTGAATGGTCATTAAAGGAATGCTCGTAAGTCGAGGACAAGCTGTGTTAAGTTTACAAATGGCCACTTATCCTGGTCCTGAGCAACACTCCTCAGTTGCCTTAATGTGAGGACGTAAATGCACAGATGCAACTATGAGTATTCTTGAAGGCGTTCTGGAGAAACACTTCCAACGGGAGTGAATTTCTACACAGGTAGTCCTCAACTTGCAACCGTTCGTTTAGTGACCGCTCAAACTTACAATGGCAAAGTCAAAACGGTGACTGGTGATCATTTTTTACATGACTGTTGCAACGTCCTCGTGATCGCGCAATCGAAATTCAGACGCTTGGCAACTGTTCCGTATTTATGATGGTTGCCGTATCACGTGATTCCCCCTTTTGTGACCTTCTGACAAGCCAAGTCCGGGGGGTGGGGGAGACAGATTCACTTAACAACTGAGTTAACAACTCAGCTTAACAACTGCAGGGATTCGCTTAATGACGGTGGCAAGAAAACTCGTAAAGGGGAGCAAAACTCACTTAGCAACAAAAAGTTTAGGGTCAATTGTGTTCGTAAGTCGAGGGCTACTGATAGCTCAGAGCTATAGGGTGGCTTCGTGCTCTCTGAGCTGGGTGGTTTTCTTTCAGACATTTCGTGACCCAACTAGGAAACATCATCAATGTTAGAAGGGAGTTGGGTCTGTGGAGAGGAGGAGGGGGGAGGGGGAGGAGGAAGAAGAAGAAGAAGAAGAAGAAGAAGAAGAAGAAGAAGAAGAAGAAGAAGAAGAAGAAGAAGAAGAAGAAGAAGAAGAAGAAGAAGAAGAAGAACAATAACAACAAGAAGAAGAACAAGAAGAAGAACAACAAGAAGAAGAACAACAAGAAGAAGAAGACAACTATGGGGTCCTTGGTGCTCTCTGAGCTGGGTAGTTTTCTTGCAGATGTTTCATGACCCAACTAGGGAACATCATCAATGTTAGAAGGGAGTTGGGTTTGTAGAGAGGAGGAGGAGGAGGAGGAAGTTGAGGACTGCCTCTAATAAAGACGGGCAGCAGACACAAGGATATGATCTCAGAGTGAAAAAAAAGGACTGGTGTGTATGTATGTGTGGAAAGGCCAACCTGCTTAACCAAAAGATGATCTGATCAATTAAAGAACAGCCAATCTCATTACTGCTTAACACTGCATGGGTAATGAAGGCTATGTTTGATTCGGAGTGCATGATGGGATATAAAGTGAAAGAATGTATGGATCCAGGAGAAGACAGAGGTTGCCCCAAAGGAGTTCTTTAGCCAACGACATATTGTTGGGTGACAAAGACAAAAAATTGGACACAGGACACGCCGAGACTAGTACAGAGGAAAAAATACCATATGCCTCTAACAGGCATGTTCAGGCAAGCCCTTTGCCCTATTTGATGATGATCAAAGGTAGGGAGGAGCAAATACATCACAGCGACTTTGTTTTAATTTGATTTTAGGCTTATTAACAGCCCTTTCATCTCCAACCATCCAGACATTCAGAGCAGGGGAGATTCTGCCCACAGCGTGCCTGGTCTGTTAAGAAGCCAAAAACAAAAACTAATTTAGAGGGCTAAGGCCAACAAAAGTACGTATAGTCCAGGCCATGGTTTTCCCAGTTGCAATGTATGGCTGTGAAAGTGGGACCATAAGAAAGGCTGAGAAAGGCCAAAGAATGGAGGCCTTTGAACTCTGGTGCTGGAGAAGACTCCTGCGAGTCCCTTGGACTGCAAGGCGATCCAATCGGTCAATCCTGGAGGAGATCAACCCCGAATGCTCTTTAGAAGGCCAGATCCTGAAGTTGAAACTCAAGGACTTTGGCCACCTAATGAGAAGGAAGAACTCCCTGGAGAAGAGCCTGATGCTGGGAAAGATGGAGGGCAACAGAAGAAGGGGAGATAGAAGATCTCCAAGGTCCCTTCCACTTTATTATTCTATATACTATATTCTAGTGAAGAGAAGGGCGAGGGGCGACATGATAGCAGTGCTCCAGTATCATCATCATCATCATCATCATCATCATCATCAAGTTGGAAGGGACCTTGGAGGTCATCTAGTCCAACCCCCTGCTCAGGTAGGAAACCCTACACCATTTCGGACAAATGGCTGTCCAGTCTCTTCTTTGCCCCAAAGAGGAGGGAGTTATTCTCCAAAGCATCTGAAGGCAGGACAAGAAGCAATGGATGGAAACTGATCAAGGAGAGAAGCAACCTGGAATTCAGGAGAAACTTCCTGGCAGTGAGGACAATTAACCAGTGGAACTCCTTGCCACCAGAAGTTGTGGGCGCTCCATCACTGGAGGCTTTTAAGAAAAGATGGACAGCCATTTGTCTAGTAAGGCCACACTTGGAATACGGCATCCAGTTTTGGTCACCACAATGTAAAAAAGATGTTGAGACTCTAGAAACTAGAGTACAGAGAAGAGCAACAAAGAGGATCAGGGGATTGGAGGCTAAAACATACAAGGAACGGTTGCTGGAATTGGGGATGTCCAGTTTAATGAAGAGAAGGATGAGGGGGGACACGATAGCAGCCTTCCAGTATCTCAGGGGCTGCTCCAAAGAAGAGGGAGTCAAGCTATTCTCCAAAGCCCCTGAAGGTAGGACAAGAAGCAACGGATGGAAACTCATCAAGGAGAGAAGCAAGCTAGAACTAAGGAGAAACTTCCTGACAGAACCATTAACCAGTGGAACTGCTTGCCACCAGAAGTTGTGGGTGGTCCATCACTGAAGGCTTTTAAGAAGGGATGGGACTGCCATTTGGTCTGAAACGATATAGGGCAGGGGTAGGCAACCTTGGCTCTTTTATGACTCGCTTCAACTCCTAGAATTCCTGAGCCAGCATGGGGGAACTATGGCCCCTTCATGACTTGTGGACTTCAACTCCCAGAATTCCTGAGCCAGCATGACTCAGCTTGGAAACCTCTCCCTTTCCCCTCAGAATGGCTGGCTCAGGAATTCTGGGAATTGAAGTCCACGAGTCATAAAAGAGCGAAGGTGGCCTACCCCTGGTATAGGGTCTCTTGCTCGAGCAGGGGGTTGGACTAGAAGACCTCTAAAGTCCCTTCTAACTCTTTTATTCTGACTACCTGTACTACCAAGGACCCTCTTGGGAGGCCTGACTTGGCAGACCCTGGAGAAGCTGCTCTCCCTCCGAAATGAGACGGAAAACACCGTGTACCATGGTTAAGCCTTTCCAGCACGGCTTAGCTCCCTCAGTAAGACTAAAACTCGCTCCACGTCCTTAGTCGAATCCTGCTCGTGTTTAAAGTTGAATAGTAATGCCATTAACAGAACGAGACGGTTCATTATCTGGGTCTAATTTGTGTCTGGATTTAATTGTGTTAGCGCAATAGACAGGGCCGTCTTTTTTGCATTCTTCTAGCGTTTTCCCGTGAAACAAGCAAAGGAGCAGGAGAATCGGGATGGAAAACACTGCAACCGCTGTCGCCTTCCCAGTCCAATAACCCCCGGCCAACACCAACCAATAAAACCATCTTTTGTTCAAACCTACGTTATAAGAATAAACCCCGAAGCTGATTGAATGCCTCTTGTTTCTCGGGGGGGGGGGAAAGCCAGCATTTAGAAGGATGCCTTTATTTTAGCCTTCCCCTCGGGCTTCGGGATGCTTGTGACCCACAACTGAAGCCTCTTTGAAACTTTTTCTGCAAGTAGGCGTCAACTGGAGACGCTTAGTGATTGGACAGAGTTATGACGGGCCCTTCGAAAAGGATGTAAAATTGGGCCAGGCGCACGACGGAAACACTGGTCTGGTCTAGCAATTAAAGCAATAGGCTAGAAACCAGGAGATGGGGAATTCTAGTCCCACCTTAGCCACGAAAGAGGGCAGGGAGACTTTGGGCCAATCACCAGGAGACGGTGAATTCTAGTCCCGCCTTAGGCATAAAGCCAGCTGGGAGACTTTGGGCCAGTCACCAGGAGACGGTAAATTCTAGTCCCGCCTTAGGCATGAAAGAGGGCTGGGAGACTTTGGGCCAATCACCAGGAGATGGTGAATTCTAGTCCCGCCTTAGGCATGAAAGCCAGCCGGGAGACTTTGGGCCAATCACTAGGAGACTGTGAATTCTAGTCCCGCCTTAGGCTTGAAAGCCAGCTGGGAGACTTTGGGCCAATCACCAGGAGACGGTGAATTCTAGTCTCGCCTTAGGCTTGAAAGCCAGCTGGGAGACTTTGGGCCAATCACCAGGAGACGGTGAATTCTAGTCCCGCCTTAGGCATGAAAGCCAGCTGGGTGACTCTGGGCCAGTTTCTCTGTGAATGCTCCAACACTGGAAGTTTTTAAGAAGAGACTGGACAGCCATTTGTCTGAAATGGTATCGGGTTTCCTGCCTGAGCAGGGGGTTGGACTAGATGACCTCCAAAGTCTCTTCCAACTTTATTATCTCCCGTTTTTCTTTTTTAACCTTTTATTCGTACCCTGACCAATTTACAAAGAGAGAGGAGAGGAGAAATGGCGAGCGTTTCAAAATGGGATCGATCAAAAACTTAAAATAAAAAAAGGTTGGGCTGCGGATCTCTGCGTCCTTGTTTTCTCTGCAGCTACGGTACCTTGTTAAGGCAACCGATAATTTGGCAGGCCAAACGTGATTAAAATCATAGAATTGCTTAGTAGCAGACCCACACAACGTGTACCGTTGTGCCTGTACGCATTCCGAGAGCCCTTTCATAAATCAAGAGCACAATGGAGATTATATACTGTATGCTCCAAATTGTGCATCTATTTTCTTTTGCTGGCTTTAACCACGACTGAGGCTGCTGAATATTAATGGCTTTCAAATAAAAATCTGAAATAGTAAATATTATCCAAGAGAAGGACTAAAGGTGGTATGCTGTTATCTGCAAAAGCCCAAGATAACTCAAAAGAGAAAACCACAACGACATAGAATCCATTCTTGAAAACCAAAGGCTGTATCACAGGTAATCTTCCACTTACGACGGGTTATTTAGTGACCGTTCTAAGTTGCAATGGCACTGAAAAAAGTGACTTACGACCGTTTTCCCCACTTAGGACTGTTGCAGCGTCCCCAGAGTCACGTGACTAAAATTCAGACGCTATATTTACGATGGCTGCAGTCTCCCCCGAGGGTCACGCGATCTCCTTTTGCGACTGTCTGACTTAACAACCTTGTTATAAGTTAACAACTGCAGGGATTCACGGGACAAGAAATGTCATACAATGGGACAAAACCCCCTTCGCAGCTGTCTCGTTTAGCGACCGAAAGGTGGGGCTCCATCAAGTTGAGGACGGCTTGTAAAAGATGAGCCTCGTTCCTTTTTTTTTTGGTAAAATTAAAATTCATTTCAGTTTTCAAAAGCGAATCAAAGCAGCAACGCTGCCAACGTGGCTCGTGAAAACCGTCCGGTGGGAAAAGATGGAGTTCACGGCAAAGGGGTTTCTGTGGGGCATGTTGTGTAAGGACCTCCCCCCCCCCACTCACCCACACCCAACATTAAAAAAAGAAGCGTCACCTCGTGGGAGATTCGCCGTTGTTCAATATAGGCCATGAATTGCGTGCTGAGGCTGTCTGGCTCCGGGCATTTGGCCTGCCTCACTTCTTCCTCTTCTTCCTCAGTGGCGCAGCTGTCAATAAAGTCGATTTGATCCAGATCCTGCTCCACTGGAGATACAGAAGGGAAAAGAGTTATCGGGCACCATCAGAAGAGCCATCTCTCTCTCTCTCCCTCTTTCTCTCTCTCTGTCTCTCTCTTTCTCTTTCCTCTCTCCCTTTCTCTTCTCTCTCTCTCTCCCCCTCCCTCTCCCTTTCCTCTCTCTCCCCCTCTCCCTTTCCTCTCTTCTTCTCTCCCCCTCTCCTTTTCTTTCCTCTCTCCCTCTCCCTCTCTTCCTCTTTCTCCCTTTCTCTCCCTTTCTATTTCCTCTCCCTCTCTCCCTTTCTCTTTGTCTCTCTCCCTTTCTCTCTTCCTCTCTCCTTCTCCCTTTCTCTTTCCTCTCCCTTTCCCTCTCTTCCTCTCCCCCTCCCCTTTTCTTTATCTCTTTCTTCTCTCCCTCTTTTCCCCTCTCCCTCCCTCTTCCTCTCCCTTTCTCCATCTCTCCCTTTCTCTTTCCTCTCTTCCTCTCCCTCTCTCCCCCTTTCTCTTTCCTCTCTCCCTCTCCCTTTCTCTCTCTCCCTATCCCTTTCTCTTCTTCTTTCTCTCTTCCTCTCTCTCCCTTTCTCTTTCCTCTCTCTCTCTCCCCGTCTCCCTCCCTCCCCCTCTCTCTCAGAAAAAAGGATTTATTTTCTCACAGAAACAACTCCCAGGGTTTGACATTTATTCAACATCAGATTAAGAACTCTTTAGCAGAAAGGGAGATTTTCAGATGAAGGGAAATATGATTATTCGATTCAACTAATCATTGGAAAATGATAAAAAAAATAAGGGATTAATTGGCCTAATATGGAGGATTTAGATTGATAAGGGGAATGAAAATTAGCTATTAGGAAATAGCTTCGAATTATTGTTTAGCCCAGATAACACAGACGATGGATTTGAGACAATAAAGAATACTCCATTAGTAAGTGGTGAACTAGGATGAGAAACAGAAAATGTCTATGAAATAAAATAAGAATATATTTAAGTAAGTAATATGTGTATCTTAGACATTATAACTGTTATGTAGTGAAATAAAGGAAATTTGGGTGACCTGAAGTTTAAATACTATGGATATTAAAGGTTAAATTGGAATACTGTAATTAAAAATTAGGTAAAATTTAAACACAGGACATGGATATATATGAGCAAAAATATATGGATAAATGTTTTATCACTGGAGAAGGGCCTCACACTGGGAAAGATTGAGGGCAATAGAAGAAGGGGACGACAGAGAATGAGATGGCTGGATGGAGTCACTGAAGCAGGAGGTGTGAACTTAAATGGACTCCAGAAGATGGTAAAGGACAGGAAGACCTGGAGGAACGTTGTCCATGGGGTCACGATGGGTCGGACACGACTTCGCAATTAACAACAACAAATGTTTTAACTGAGCTTGTTATAATTAGAAATTTATTAGCTTCAATATAATATAGCAAATGTTAAGGGAAACAGAGAAGGGATTTTTTAATGATGTAACCTGAGATATGTACTAAAGATTTTGTTATTGTGCTATTGACTACCCAATCACCAGGTTGCTCTCTAAATACTCAAATGTAAAACTGGAAAACCAATACAAACTTGTCATAAATACAAAAAAAGAACTCTTTAGCCGCAGCCTGGCTTTTATCAACACTGCAAGCAAAGTCCTTATCTGGATGTCTCTAAACAGGAGCCCTGCCAAAACAGAAACTTTCTACCAGTGAAGGTAAAACTTCATTCACTCAAGATAAAGAAAACGAAAACTAGCAAGTTGGAGGGTTTAAAGGCTACCCAGGAAAACTGTGAATGTTTCACATGTGTCCGGGACGGGTGGGTGAGTGGGTGGACGGATGGACAGACAGAAAGACAATCATCATTCTAGCCATTGTCTGTCTACTGCAGGATGACGGCCTCTCCCACATGTTTCCAACCAAGACAGTGCTGAGCTTTTTTTTTTTTTTTGCCAATTGGGCCCGCTATACTTGCTAATGTCATGGATTCATCTTGTTTTAGGCCTCTTTCGTGGAGGCATTTGATCAAGTGGGATCCATTCTGGGACTGCCTTGATCCACCTGCCCTCAGTTCTACTTGCTTGGCGACGTTTCGACGAAGTCCCATTCGTCATCTTCAGGCTGGTGTTTTCAGCTTCGTGCTTCGAGCAGCAATGTGTGGTCTTAGCTGTTTCTTCCTTTTAACTGCCAGTGGGGGTATGAACTGATTGGGTGGGAGCTTGGCTGTGTTCTGATTGGGTGGAGATGTGTTCTGATTGGTTAGGGGCTTGGCTGTGCTCTGATTGGCTGGGGGGTTGGCTGTGCACCTCCACCCAATCAGAACACAGCCAAGCTCCCACCCAATCAGTTCATACCCCCACTGGCAGTTAAAAGGAAGAAACAGCTAAGACCACACATTGCTGCTCGAAGCACGAAGCTGAAAACACCAGCCTGAAGATGACAAATGGGACTTCGTCGAAACGTCGCCAAGACACTTCCAATTTTACGCGGGTGATCTTTGCTTTGACACAGAATAATTCATTTATTTGAGAGTGACAGGATGATCACTTGGGGAGGACAATTCTAATAGGATGTTTTATACAGAATGTGGATGATCCAGCTTTTTATCGTCAAGGACGTTAAACAATCAACTTCTTCCCAGATTTTTACAAGGGGGAATTTCCTGAAAGTGAGAACAATCAATTAGTGGAACGGCTTGCCAGCAGAAGTTGTGGGTGCTTCAACACTGGGGGTTTTTAAGAAGAGACTGGACAGCTGATTTGTCTGGAATGGTCTAGGGCAGTGATGGGGAACCTTTTAGAGACCAAGTGCCCAAACTGCAACCCAAAACCCACTTATGCATCTCCCGGTTGCCAGGTGGGTGTGGCCCATTGGGCGGGTGTGGCCCATTGGGTGGGTGTGGCCCATTGGGTGGGCGTGGCTACCATGGTAACAGCAGACTGGGTGGGACTAAAAAGTTCAATCAATTAATTCCAACTTTGCAAGATATCTTTTTTTCCCACGCAAGAAGTTGAAGTTGACAGATTGATTGAACCTTTTTTTTTTTTTTTTTTTTGCACATGGCAGTGGAGGCCTAAAGCAAAAAGGTTTTATAAAACCCAGCTGAAGGCCTAGGACTGGGGCGATGGTGTGCGTGCCCACAGAGAGGGCTCTGAGTGCCGCCTCTGGCACCTGTGCCATAGCTTTGCCACCACGATTATAGGATCTCCTGTGTGAGCAGGGGGTTGGACTAGAAGACCTCCAAGGTCCTTTCCAACTCTGTTATTCTGTTCTGTTCTGTTCTATTTCATTCCATTCTCTATTCTATTCTATTCTGTTCTGTTCTATTCCATATTCCATATTCTGTTCTATTCTATTCTCTATTCTATTCCATGCTATTCTAGATGCAAAATCTATTTTCTTCTCTTCTTTCTCTATTCTATTTATTCTATTCTAATTCTAATTCTATTCTATTCCTTATTCTATTCTAATCCTTTTCTCTATACTATTCTATTCCTTTTCTATATTCTATTCTATTCCATTCTATTCTGTATCTTATTTTATTCTATTCTATTCTGTATTTTATTATTCTATTCTATTCTCTTTTCTTCTTTCTATTCCATTCTCTTCTTTCTCTATTCTATTTATTCTATTCTAATTCTAATTCTGTTCTATTCCTTATTTTATTCTATTCCTTTTCTCTATTCTATTCCTTTTCTCTATTCTATTCTATTCTATTCTATTCTATTCTATTCTATTCTATTTTCTATTCTATTCTATTCTATTCTATTCTATTCTATTCTATTCTATTCTATTCTATTCCACTCCACTCCACTCCATTCCATTTATTCTATTCTATTCCTATATTCCATTTCATTCTATTCTATTCTATTCTATTCTATTCTATTCTATTCTATTCTATTCTATTCTATTCTATTCAGAACATTGCTTACAATGTACGTTTGCTGGCTGCTTGCAGAACCATCTCCTCTCCCACCCACCTCCCATAAAGCTGCAATTCTGCCCAAGCAGATTCAGTTCCCAAGTTGAAAAGCTTTATTTCACTCTATTTTCCCGCGCCACTGTTTTCAAACATACAACTTTTCCTGGTATTGTCAAAATTACATAAGAATATGCTGGGGGAAGAAGAGGTAACCAAATTCCTTTCTGCTAGATTGGTTTGGTCCAAATGCCATATGGCTGTTTCTTCTTTTTGCAGGAAATGGGGGAGGAAAAAAAAAACCAAATTATGACATAAGGATTTAACTTTTTTTTTAAAAAAAAAACAAATCCCCCGTTCTCTTGGAAAAATTGACGCTGTTCAAACTGTTTAACTCTATTAAACTGAGAATTGAATGTGTTTCATATCCTTGGAAGAAGAAGTCGGAAATCTTTTTCTGAATGGATTTTTTTTGTTGTTGTTGTTATTTTCCTTTTTTTTAAAAAAAATATCCTTCTGCACTCTCTTTCTTTTTTTCTTCTTCCTTTCTGATTGTTAGTTTATGTTGGTTTTTATTTGTACGTTTTAATAAAATTATTAGAGTCAACAAATTATTTGCTGTACTAACCAAGGACTTGTGGAAAAAGCTACTATTAATAGCCTGAGCTCACAGGAGCCAGACCAAGGCTTAGCTGATACTTTGGCAAGTCCAGGCTGTTCTTTCCTAAGACTGCACCAGTGTTGGAAGCACAAAAGCTGAAAGATTTTGCTGGAATTGGGTCTGTCTAGTAGTCTAATGAAGAGAAGGACGAGGGGGGACATGATAGCAGCCTTCCAATATCTCAGGGGCTGTCACAAAAAAGAGGGAGTCAAGCTATTCTCCAAAGCACCTGAAGGCAGGACAAGAAGCAACAGATGGAGAAACTGATCAAGGAGAGAAGCAACCTGGAACTAAGGAGAAACTTCCTGACAGTTAGAACAATTAACCAGTGGAACCACCTGCCTCCAGAAGCAGTGAATGCTCCAATACTGGAAGTCTTTAACAAGAGACAGGACAGCCCTTTGTCTGAAATGGTATAGGGTTTCCTGCTCGGGCAGGGGGTTGGACTAGATGACCTCCAAGGTCCCTTCCAATTATTATTATTATTATTATTATTATTATTATGGATCATCGCACAATCAGCCAGATGTTCAGACTGGATTTGGCATTTTGTCTACCTATCGAGTCCTTACCCAGACCTGGGATAGGCAGATGTGGATGTTTGATGGTATTACAGATATCGTCGCAGGATGGAAGCAGTTCCTAGTAAGGCCGCCTTTTGCAATTGACTAATAGCAAATTTGTCAATGCCAATGGTGTTCAAGTGGTGCTCCAGTTGTTTTGGGATTGCACCAAAGGCGCCTATGACTATTGGTACTACCCTTGCTTGCTTTTGCCACAGTCTTTCTATTTCTATTTGTAGGTCTTTGTATTTTGTTATCTTCTCCAGTTCTTTCTCGTCTATTCTGCTGTCTCCAGGCACTGCCATGTCCACCATCCAGACTTTTTTGTCTTTCTTATCGGCAATTGTTAAGTCTGGGGTGTTATGTTGCAGGTGCTTGTCTGTTTGAATTCTGAAGTCCCAGAGCAGTTTAATTTTATCATTTTCTATGACTTTCTCTATTTTATGATCCCACCAGTTTTTCCTTACAGGCAAATGATATTTTTTGCAGATCTTATTATTATCATTATTATTAGGAAGCCACCAAATGAGAGCTATTACCTCCTCCATTTGTGACCAGCGAGTTCTCTCTGTGTTCTTGGTACTGGCTCTCTCTTCTCAGCCTCTGTTCTTTCGTGATCTCTGCCACTCGCAAGGGAAGGTCCGAAAATTCATCGGTCGGCTACATTAAAAAATAAAACCTCTTTTTTTTTTTGTATCGATTAAACCTTTGAGTCAGAACCTTTGTAAGTCTCTCCTGGGAAAAGCTGCACTTAAATACACCCAAACAATACATAACAAGATTCATTACTTGTAAATAAAAATTTACTCGGTAGCAAAATTCAATTCTAGGTTTTATCTCTTTGCTCAGTTCAGTGAATGTCAGGAAAGTAGCAGAAATCTACCTCCAGACTTGGGAGAATTAGGATCCCCTTCAAAGGAGATTCCTCATTTTGGTGTATTTGCACAGCAACTCAATCTGCCCATATAATTTTACTCCTATCGACAAATATCTCAACCTATTGCTTCCAAATCCCCACAATGAAGAGTCAACCATTTCAATTTGTTCGATTTAAGGACTATTTAGAAAGAGGGAAAAAAAAACCCTCCTCTGAAAAGGAATGACTTCAAATGAACTAAGCCCAATTTGAAATGACCCTTCTCGTTTTTTTCTTCATTGCAACGGCCTTCGCTTGACTAGAATTTTATTGGAATCAAATATTAGATGGCTTCCTGCCTCTTCGACTTACGATAAGTGGCATAAAAGGATGCTATTGATTAGTGGCTTCTCAGACTCCCATTTTTTTTTTTTTTTTTTTTTGCAATTTCAGGGACAAAAGCGACACGCAAGAGCAAAATAAGATGTTTCAAGATTACAGCCCTCTGAAACGGGGATTCTGCCTTGTTCTGCCTCCCTTTCCTAAGCTACAATTATCGGCCAGCCGAACACAAAACCACGCACGCTTACTTCGTTTCCTGACCACCTCTTATCTCCACTGTCTACGCTGTTGAAGCCGGAATCCAACGCTCCGTAGGGTCGACTCGAATACAGATCTTCGTGGCTATCAAAGAGGGAAAGAAAGGAGAAATTCTTTGGGAAACATCTGATATTAGGCAGGAATACAAAGAGCACAGTTGACCCTTTCAGGCTGATTTCTATGCGGAAAGTGATCCCACAAGAGAGATCTTGTTCTTACCACAGATTTTTTCCCCCCCTTTTCCTTACACAATTGTTGCACTGCTATTATCTTGGGCTATTATCTTTACTTCATGTATAAAGTATCAGCCAGCTGGTTTTATTTTATTTTATGTATTTTATTTTAATTTATTTTATATATTGTATTGTATTTTACTTTTTGCTTTTTATTTTATTTATATTTTATGATTTTTTTTATTTTTTTATTTTATAAATAAATGATATTTATTTTATGATTTATTTTTTATTTTATGATTTATATATTTTATGATTTATGATTTATTTTTTATTTTACGTACTGTATTTTACTTTACTTTTTATTTATTTTGTTTTATTTTATATTGTATTTATAATATATTTTATTTTTATATTATATTTTATTATTTATTTTATCTTATGTACTGCATTGTAGTTTTTATTTTTTATTTTATTTTAAATATTTTATTATTTATTTATTTCATTTTATGTATTGTATTGTATTTTACTTTTTCATTTTTATTTATTTTATTTTATATTTTATATTTTATTTTATTTTATGTATTATTATTACTATTATTATTATTATTATATTATTATTATTATTATTTCACAAAATACTGGAATTCCATCCCAAGTGAGCTCCAGACATGCCAAGCATGTGTGTGTGTAGCTTTTATCCATGAAACTGACTCCGTCACTAGACAAGAGTCAGGACACAAAGCTCATAAGAGCTGAGGGAGCGAAAACAGATCTTCCCCTATGCCCAGTGACCAGACAGACTTTAGAGATGCCTCATGGGAAAACTGCCTCGGTCAGCACCCAGTGTAACAAAGGACAGATCCCCGACACCCCCCCCCTTGCCAGTGGACATTTTATCAAAGCACCCTCTGTCTCACAGTCACTGATGCCCTAGGGCAGGGCTAGGCAACCTTGGCTCTTTTATGACTCGTGGACTTCAATTCCCAGAATTCCTCAGCCAGCCAAGCTGAGGGGAAAGGGAGAGATGGCTCAGGAATTCTGGGAGTTGAAGTCCACGAGTCACGAAGGGGCCAAAGTTTCCCCCATGCTGGCTCAGGAATTCTGGGAATTGAAGTTCACGAGTCATGAAGGGGCCAAAGTTTCCCCCATGCTGGCTCAGGAATTCTGGGAGTTGAAGTCCACGAGTCATGGAGGGGCCATAGTTCCCCCATGCTGGCTCAGGAATTCTGGGAGTTGAAGTCCGCAAGTCATGAAGGGGCCATGTTTTTGAACACCCCTGTCTTAAGACCTTGCATTTTAGTTCAATGATCTTCAAGGTAACTCACAAGCATTGTAATAAAATCATTACTTTACCACAGGGGTCTTCAAACTCAGCCCTTTTATGATTCGTGGACTTCAACCCCCAGAATTCCTGAGCCACCCATGCTGAGGGGAAAGGGACAGGTTTTCAAGCTGAGCCATGCTGGCTCAGGAATTCTGGGAGTTGAAGTCCACAAGTCATAAAAGAGCCAAGGTTGCCTACCCCTGCCCTAGGGAAATTCACAGTGGGTCTACAACAACAAGAACAACAACTAGTAGGCAAATGTCTACGGAGATTCTCAGTCATCCAGGTCAGGGTTTGTCCCAAAGGTGCTTTTTTTCATGAGGCAACTGGACTTTCTTGTTTTTCCCTTGAAGACATTTCGCTTCTCATTCCAGAAGCTTCTTCGGCTCTGACTGGATGGCGGGGAATGGAAGGATTTATACTCCTCGCAGACAGCTGGTCATTTGCCTTCTTTCAGAGGGTCGTTGAGGCCACTTGGAGGCGGCAGGATATTTTCTGCCGTGTCCCTGCAGCTAAGAAGGCCCCACGCCCATTTGCCCCACTCAGGTGACCCTGAGGGCACAGTCAAACCTCCAAGCGGCCTCAACGACCCTCTAAAACAGGGGTAGTCAACCTTGGCTCTTTTATGACTCGTGGACTTCAATTCCCAGAATTCCTGAGCCAGCTAAGCGGACTCAGGAATTCTGGGAATTGAAGTCCATGAGTCATAAAAGAGCCAAGGTTGACTACCCCTGCTCTAAAAGGATGCAAATGACCAGCGGTCTGCAAGGAGTATAACTCCTTCCATTCCCCACCATCCAGTCAGAACTGAAGCAGCTTTACTTTGGTTGGGGTCTGACATATTTTTACAGCTTCCCTTTCACGGCTTAACTCATCTGTATTTAAGCAGGATTTGGCAAGATCATCGCATCAGCACTGTGATTAGACCCCCCAAAAAACCAACCCCCCCAAAAAAGATTAAGAATCCAGAGCAGTATTTCTCAACTACAGCAATTTTTAAGCCGGATGGACTTCAAACTCCCAGAGTTCCTCAGTCAGCGCAAAGAATTCTGGGAGTTGAAGTCCACCCGCTTTAATTCAGGCTAAAAGTTCAACGTCTGGATGCTTACCAGGATCCAAAGCCTATTGGTCGCCTATGGTAATCAGGAAGGTCTGGCACCACTTTACACGCTTCCATGTTCAGGTACTTAAATATGTGGATTTTTCCTTTTATACATATCTAGGAGGAGGAAAAGAGACAAAAGAGACTTTTTATTTGTTCATGATTTTATCTGCTGTATTCTATGATTGTTGACTTTAACGTTTTGTTTTTAATGTTTCAATGTTTGCCTGCTGTAAGCGGTCCGGAGTTGTTGGATACAAGATGGGCGGCAAAAGACATTTCGTAAATAAATTTCACAAATAAATACATTTTGAAAGCAACACAGTCTATGTGAAATAGAAGGCTATTTTGAAAAAGTTTGGCCAAGCAAATATCCCGTCCTTTCCCCTGAGTGATTAAAGGACATCAAACCTACAGATTCAGGGCAAATCAGATATAAAACCACCACTGAAAATTTCCATCCTGCCTTTGACAATAAATCTGAACTCTTTACAGCACTACGTTCTAGCACAGATCTTATAGAAAGAAATTGATCCGGTTCAATATACGATGGCAAGTGGTTAAAGATAGTCTTTAATGGAAGAACATTTTCTATATAAAAAGGACATACGTGTCAATTTGAAAGCTTTAATGCCCAATATTTTAATCTTTTTAACCTTGTCATTGTTTTATCTATCTATAACTGTCTGTCTGTCTATCAATCTACCTCTACCATCTATCTATCTATCTATCTATCTATCTATCTATCTATCTATCTATCTATCTATCTATCCATCCATCCCTGTCTGTCTCTCTCTCTCCCATTTATCTATCATCAAACTATTATCTATCTATCTATCTATCTATCTATCTATCTATCTATCTATCTATCTATCAATCTATTATCTGTCTGTCTATCTATCTATCTATCTATCTATCTATCTATCTATCTATCTATCTATACCATCTATCTATCATCTATCTATCTCTACCATCTATCTATCATCTAACTATATCTATCTATCATCTAACTATATCTATCTATCTATCTATCGCTGTCTATCTATCTCTACCATTTATCTATCATCAATCTATTATCTATCTATCTATCTATCTATCTATCTATCTATCTATCTGTCTGTCTGTCTATCTATCTATCATCTATCTATCTATCTATCTATCTATCTATCATCTATCTATCTATCTATCTATCTCTACCATTTATCTATCATCTATCATCTATCTATCTATCCATCCATCCATCCATTCATCCATCCATCCATCCAGGTGGGAGTGTTGTTGTTGGTTCCTTGATTAGGCTGTTTTTACTGTTAGCTTGTTTGTCTGAGTTGGACAACACTGACAGGGCAAAGCCACTAGTATATAAACAAAGAGCAAATCCCACTCCCTTCTAGCACTGGTGATGTTACCTAGTCAGGTAATGAAATGTCTATAAAAAAACAACAAAGCTTAGAGAAAACGAAGGACCTCCACAGTCCTCCTCCTCCTCCTCCCCCACTCACAAACCCTTACCCCTTCAAGCACAAGTGACGTTACCTAGTTGGGTAATGAAATGCCTGCAAGACAACAACCCAGTTCAGAGAGCATGGACAACCCGTCAGTTCAACACTGAGCTACAATCAATCTCTTCTGTGTGCTAAATTCTCCCGTTTTTCTCTGGCGGCACCAGCTTCAAATACCCTTTGTGCTACATTCCCCGTAAATTGCCAGCTGTTTTTTTTTTAACCCGATTGCCCCTTTATACCATTAGTCTCAAACGTGATTTAATAATGTGTTTTGATCGGCTATCAATTGCAGTTTCATTTTTGGACTTCGAATGCAAAAGAGCCTCAAGCAGACTCTTCGGGGCTTCGTTTTGTGACAGTTGAGGGCTTCGGGTTAAGTGGAGGGAACGAAGCCTCAAAGAGGAGTTTGGAGGTTGTAAATGTTTACTGGCACCTATGCAGTTGTTGGGACGGGGGCTCCATGCCTCCTAAGCATGCCACTGAAGCATTATCTCTGAATACGGCCATTATACATTTGCATTGGACCATAAGAAAGGCTGAGAAAGGCCAAAGAATGGAGGCCTTTGAACTCTGGTGCTGGAGAAGACTCCTGCGAGTCCCTGGACTGCAAGGCGTTCAAACCGGTCAGTCCTAGAGGAGATCAACCCCGACTGCTCTTTAGAAGGCCAGATCCTGAAGTTGAAACTCAAGTACTTTGGCCACCTAATGAGAAGGACGGACTCACTGGAGAAGAGCCTGATGCTGGGAAAGATGGAGGGCAAGAGAAGAAGGGGACGACGGAGAACGAGGTGGCTGGAGGGAGTCCCTGAAGCAGCAGGCGTGAGCTTCAATGGATTCCAGAAGATGGTAGAGGACAGGAAGGCCTGGAGGAACGTTGTCCATGGGATCGCAATGGGTCGGACACGACTTCGCAACTAACAACAACACACTTGCATCGACAGGATCAATTACAATTCACAGCAACAGCAAAGTAGCAGAGGGCGCAGTGATTTTTAGCCTCTCCGCTCTGAGGTTTAAATTGCAGGGTGGATTTCCACGGATCGTCTCTCATCCAAGGTGAATTCTAGGCTAAGCAACTTTGCCCACAAAGCACGCATCTAACGCCACGCTCTTTAACAATGGTGCAACGGTGCAAAAAACACCAGAAGGCGCAATGGGTTTAGAGAAACTGCAGTTTTAGTCACAATTTAAAATGTTCAAACTCGGGGATACGTTACCTGGGCGGGGGGAGACTGCAAGGGGTTGTTATCTAAGGTGATTGTCTGCAAGTGCCTGAGGTTCCGGTAGCACACTGGGATTGTCGTGATTTTATTGCAGGAGAAATCTAACCGAATCAAAGGCAGCTCGGCGAGCTCTGCAGGGGGACACGCATGCAACACAATAAAAAAACAATATATGTTACGGGTCAGCTGGTTGTGGAAGAAATAAGGCATTCGCGTCTAAAAAAACGAGCACACTTTACACATATTCGGCAAAAGAGCAGCGACACAAAGCTTCCTTGTGCGTCTCTCTCTCTCTGTGTGTCTGCATGTTTTTTTTACCTTCAGGTAAATGCACCAGGTGATTCCTCCTGATGTTGAGATCCCGCAAAGAAGTGAGATTGCCAATTTGAGGAGGGATAGTCTGGATTTCATTGCAGCTGACATCCTGGAAAAGAGAGGTGAGCTCGATTTAATAATGTTCATTTCCCCCCCTCACAGTCTGCATTCAAGTGAAAATAGTCCTTCAGAAGCTCAAAGTTATTTGAACGACAGTCTTTTCCTGGTCACTTTACCCGACCCACCAAATGGGAAAACAGAGAATAAACTCCCCTTCTCCTAAGGAGGTCCATCTGGTGCAGTGGTTCTCAACCTTTTTAATGCTGCGACCCCCCAACCGGTCGTAAGTCGAGGACTACTCAACCGGTCGTAAGTCAAGGACTACTCAACTGGTGCAGCACCATTTGCAGAATGGGGCTTTTGGCGGGCTCAGCAGGGCAGAGACAGCCTGGACAATTCCTATTGGCTTTTGAAAGCCAATAGAATTAGACTCTATTCAAGAGAGTCTATTCTATTGGCTTTCAAAAGCCAATAGAATAAAAGGGAGTAGCACAGCTAAGGAAAAGGGGGAAAAAATGGCGGACTGCGTTGTTTGGCGATCCCCGTGAAATGGTCGTTCCACCCCAAATGGGGTCCCGACCCACAGGTTGAGAACCACTGATCTGGTGGGACCAAGAAGAAGGGTCTTCTTCGTGGTGGCTCCCTCCCGCTGGAACATCATCCCTGCAGAGACCCTCTTTCGCCAGGCCCTGAAGACCTGCCTCTGCCAAGGGGCCAGGGGACCCCAGGGCGATGTAGAGTTCGTTTGACTGTTGTTGCTGGGGTGGTGGTGGGGGGCGGTGCTTTAGTTTTATATTGGGGTTTTTATCTTTGTAAGCACCCTGGAGTCACTGAGAAAGAGGCAGGCTGCCAGATACATTCTGACAGACAGACAGATAAAACGACAGATAGATGGAAGGGGAGGAGGGGGGGTAGATAGCTAGCTAACTAGATGATAGAGGCAATTACATGATAGACAGACAGAAAAATAGATAATAGAGGTAGACAGGTGATGGATGGATGGATGGATGGACAGAGACAGACAGAAAGACAATAAATGATAGAGGTAAATAGATTAGAGATTAGACAGACAGACCAGATGGATGGATGGACAGATTAGGTAGGTAGGTAGGTAGGTAGGTAGGTAGATATGGATGGACGGACGGACGGAGAGACAGGCAGATAGACAATAAATGATAGAGATAGATAGATAGATAGATAGATAGATAGATAGATAGATAGATAGATAGATAGATAGATAGACAGACAGACATGGATGGATGGATGGATGGATGGATGGATGGATGGATGGACAGATGGACAGTTAGGCAGATAGACAATAAATGATAAAGGTAGATAAATTAGAGATTAGAAAGACAGACAGGATAGATAGGTCGGTAGGTAGGTAGACAGACAGACAGATATGGATGGACAGACAGACAGACAAATGGATAGACAGGCAGACAAATATTCTTAAATGCAAAAACATAGTCAAAATATAATTTGGCAGGATGGAGAGGGAGGGATAGTCAGTTTCACGATGTTTAAATAAGCTCAACGCTTATTTAAACATCGTGAAACTGAACGCAAAACCACAGGAACTTGGCAGATATCCCACGCGCTATGAAAAACTTCAGAGAGGCAACACACACCAGGAGTGAAAGTCGAAGAAAAATTAATGGGAAATAAACATCATTCCTGAGGGGCAAAGTCAGAAACCTTCATCCAAGTCAAGGCATCGATAGGGAAACAGGAACATTTAACCTGTTTGCTTGAAGGGATAACATACAGGTGGTCCTCAACTTACAACAGTTCGTTTAGTGACTGTTTGAAGTTACGACGGCACCAAACGGTGACTTAGGACCGTTTTTCACACTGACAACCGTTCTGTAAGGTCCTTGGATTTACATTTGGATGCTTGGCAACTGACATGTACTTAACGACGGCTGCAGTGTCTCTTGGGATCACATGATCCCCTGTTGGGATCTTCTGACAAGGAAAATCAACGGGAAACCCCAATTCCCTTTATCACAATCCATCACAAGATCTAATGTTCAGGATACAGGTCTTATCTATTTCAATTCTCACCATCTTACATCAACTGATTAACCATACAATACAATATTCTTATTTTCTGGTCATTTCCAAATAGCTTACCTTTAGTAACCAACATTTCTCTTATTTCAACACTGAATGCTTCCTCTCTTAACATCTACTATCTCATATTTAAGCTAGTAATCTTTATTATTACCGCTAAGTAAAAACATATTTATGACATTTATTTAAAACCTGGTAATTACAAATATGAAACGTTAAATTTAAATATTAATGGGAAAACTAAAAATTGGGGAAAGCCAACCAGGACATTGATTGTCTAAAAAGATTGAATGTTAAAATAGCTAGGATATGTATAAACTAAAAGCTGTTGACAAATGTAAGAAAGTTATTTTTATTAAATTGATATAGTAAGAATTAATACAAGTTCAATATAAGACAGTAAATACCAAGGGGGAAAGAGAGGAAACACTGAATGTAATAGTTTGTGATCTGTACTCAAGATATTTGTATGTTACTGAATTATTGACCAACTCCGCCGCCATGTTGCTTTTCAAATATTTAAATGTAAAACTAGAAAATCAATAACATTTTCTTAAAAAAAAAGAAAAGAAAGAAAATCAATGGGGAAGCCAGATTGACTTAACAACTGCAGTCTTCCAGTATCTCAGGGGCTGCCCCAAAGAAGAGGGAGTCAAGCTATTCTCCAAAGCGCCTGAGAGCAGAACATGAAGCAACGGATGGAAACTAACCAAGGAGAGAAGCAACCTGGAACTAAGGATAAACTTCCTGACAGTGAAAACAATTAACCAGTGGAACTCCTCACCTCCAGAAGCGGTGAATGCTCCAACACTGGAGGCTTTTAAGAAGAGACTGGACAGCCATTTGTCTGAAATGGTATAGGGCAGTGGTTCTCAACCTTCCTAATGCCGCGACCCCCAACCATGTGGTTGTAAGTCGAGGACTACCTGTATTTCCCTGTGGGCGGGGGCAGGAGGAGGGGCGGGGTTTGCTCGCTCTCATTCTCTCTCTCACTTTTTATTTTTCTCTCTCTGGCGCGCACGCTCCACCTCCACTCCTGCAGCTGGAGCGCACGCCGGGTAAGCCAAGGGCGCACGTGGGCCGTCGCCCAGCAACCGCCTCGGCCCAGCAGCGCCGCACATGCAGCAGGCAGGCCCAGGAGCTCCTGGGCGGTCATGGCAAGCGGCAGTGAAGGCGCAGGCCGACCACCGGCTGGGCCACCAGCTGGCCCAGCCCAAGGGAGGTAAGCCACCTGGCAGGCCCCACGCGCACCAGTTACCGTCCCTGCGCCCGCCGCTGCCCCGCTAGCCTTACCTTGGCCACCGCCCATTCGCTGCGGCGGCAGGCAGGCCCAGGTACTCGTGGGCGGCCCTCCCACCCCTGGCCCTTTTTTACTTACATTTAGTAGTTGCTCAGCAGGGAAGGGTTGCTCGCCTTCGCTGCAGACAACTTGCAGCACCGTTTGCCGACTGGGACTTTTGGCGGGCTCAGCAGGGCAGAGACAGCCTGGACAATTCCTATTGGCTTTTGAAAGCCAATAGAATGAGACTCTATTCAAGAGAGTCTATTCTATTGGCTTTCAAAAGCCAATAGAATAAAAGGGAGTAGCACAGCTAAGGAAAAGGGGGGAAAAAAAATACTGGACTGCGTTTCATAAGGATTCTATGAGGAAAAACTCCAGGACTTTGGCGACCCCCGTGAAATGGTCGTTCGACCCCAAATGGGGTCACGACCCACAGGTTGAGAACCGCTGTTCTAGAGTCTCAACATCTTTTTTACATCGTGGTGACCAAAACGATCATCCAAAATTTCCTCTCTATTTGCCTTCATGATTATATCACATTCAAATGAATGCCTTGCTAATTATAACTCAGTCGGTTCAGACATTTTACCGGTATATTTTAACTTATACATATCCATGTCCTGTTTTTGAATTTTTACCTAGAAAAGTCACCCGTAAAATTGAAGTCCGCAATCAGCACATCGTAAAGGATCAAATGCCGAGCCGAGCTGGGAAAAAAAAGACTTTTTGGCACTTACCAGCTCCATCAGATGTCTCAGCTGTCCGATTTCTTCCGGGATGGAGACCAGTTTATTGTTGCTGGCTATCAAAACTTTTAAGGGAAGGCTGCACAAATGGACCGGCAATGTTGAGAGCTGGTTACGGCTTTTCGGGAGAGGAGAGAGAGAGAAAAAAAAGAAACAAGGCATCAGAAAACGACCTAGACATATCATCGTGTCAGAATACAAAGTCATTGGCCCGTTTTCGGCACACAAATTCAACAACCGAGTCGCCCCTTTTTTCTAAAGGGAAAAGAGCAATTATTTATTTTTGTCTCCTTTAGCTGAATTCCCGAATCACAGACAGTTGTTTCTTGATGGTTCCCAGGTGCTCTCTAAGCTTGGGCATTTTCCTGTAGTTCTTTCATTACTAACTAGGTAACATTATCAGTGCTAGAAGGGAGGAGGAGGAGGAGGAGGAAGAGGAGGAAGAGCAGGAGGAGGAAGGCTGTGGGATCCTTGGTGCTCTCTGAGCTGGGTGGTTTTCTTGCAGATGTTTCATGACCCAACTAGGGAACATCATCAGTGCTAGAAGGGAGGGGGGTTTGCAGGGAGGAGGAGGAGGACTGTGGTGTCCTTGGTGCTCTCTGAGCTTGGTGGTTTTCTTGCAGACATTTCATTACCCCACTATATAATATCATCAGGGCTGAAAAATATGAGGTTTGTGGAGTGGGAGAAGGAGAAGGACAAAAAGAACTGTGAGGTCCTTGGTGCTCTCTGAGCTTGGTGGTTTTTTTGCAGACATTTCATCACCCAATTAGGTTACATCATCAGTGCTAGAAGCGAAGAGGAGGAGGAGGATGAAGGCTGTGGGATCCTCGGTGCTCTCTGAGTGCGATGGTTTTCTTGCAGACATTTCATTACCCCACTATATAATATCATCAGGGCTAAAAAAAGTGAGGTTTGTGGACTGGGAGAAGGAGAAGGGAAGGACAAAACGGACTGTGAGGTCCTTGGTGCTCTCTGAGCCTGGTGGTTTTCTTGCAGATGTTTCATTATCCAACTAGGTAACATCATCAGTGGCTTTGCTTGTTTGTGTGGGCCAGTTGCTGGCATGCTGTGGCCCAGTACCGGTCCATGGACCAGGCATTGGGAACCCCTGCTCCAAAGCGCCTAAAGGCAGGACAAGAAGCAACGGATGGAAACTCATCAAGGAGAGAAGCAACCTGGAACTGAGGAGGAATTTCCTAACAGGGAGGACGGTTAACCAGTGGAACCACCTGCCTCCAGAAGTGGTGAATGCTCCAACACCGGAAGTTTTTAAGAAGAGACTGGACAGCCATTTGTTTGGTGTAGGGCCCTGGTGGCGAACCTGTGGCACGGGTGCCAGAGGCGGCACACAGAGCCCTCTCTGTGGGCACGCACACCGTCACCCCAGTCCTAGGCCTTCAGCTGGGTTTTATAAAACCTTTTCACTTTAGGCCTCCAGCATCGTGTGCAAAAAAAAAAAAAAAAGGTTCAATCAATCAATCAATTTCAACTTCTCCCGGAAAAAAAAAGATCTCACAAAGTTGGAATTGATTGAATGAACTTTTTAGTCCCACCCAGTCTGCCGTTACCACCACAGCCACGCCCACCCAATGGGCCATGCCCACCTGGCACCCAATGATACATAAATGGGTTTTGGGTTGCAGTTTGGGCACCCGGTCTCTAAAAGGTTCGCCATCACTGGTATAGGGTTTCCTTCCTGAGCCGGGGGTTGGACTAGATGACCTCCAAGGTCCCTTCCAAGTTTATTTATTATTATTATTATTATTATTATTATTATTATTATTATTATTATTATTATTATTATTATTATTATTATTATTACTATATTATTATTATTATTATTATTATTATTATTATTATTATTATTATTATTATTACTATTATGGATCATCACACAGTCAGCCAGATGTTCAGACTGGATTTGGCATTTTGTCTACCTATCGAGTCCTTACCCAGGACCTGGGATAGGCAGATGTGGATGTTTGATGGTATTACAGATATCGTCGCAGGATGGAAGCAGTTCCTAGTAAGGGCGCCTTTTGCAATTGACTAATAGCGAATTTGTCAATGCCAATGGTGTTCAAGTGGTGCTCCAGTTGTTTTGGGATTGCACCCAAGGAGCCTATTACTATTGGTACTACCCTTGCTTGCTTTTGCCACAGTCTTTCTATTTCTATTTGTAGGTCTTTGTATTTTGTTATCTTCTCCAGTTCTTTCTCGTCTGTTCTGCTGTCTCCAGGCACTGCCACGTCCACTATCCAGACTTTTTTGTCTTTCTTATCAACAATTGTTAAGTCTGGGGTGTTATGTTGCAGGTGCTTGTCTGTTTGAATTCTGAAGTCACAGAGCAGTTTAATTTTATCATTTTCTATGACTTTCTCTATTTTATGATCCCACCAGTTTTTGCTTACAGGCAAATGATATTTTTTGCAGATCTTCCAATGCACCATTGTTGCTACTTTGTCATGCCGCTGCTTGTAGTCAATCTGTGCAATCTTCTTGCAACAGTTTACCAGGTGGTCCCCTGTTTCTTCAGCTTCTTTATTATTATTATTATTGTTGTTGTTTCTTTGGGATTCATTCAACAAGTCTGCCCAAATCCCCTCTCAGTCCACCAAATCAATCAATCAAGTCACTTAAACACTCAGCCTGCAAACGTAACTTCATCCTTGTGTGATAAGGTGTACAACCTCTCAGCTGTAACCTGTACACAGCCCAAAATTCCTCTCTGGAATTCCTCCCTGCCCCACAACAAAATTGTTGAAACCTGCTGATTGGGAAAGCAAGATTTTAAATTAACAAAAAAAAGAAATCAAATCCAGCGGAAGAGGAATTTTAAAGCATCCCACACGATAATCACAATATTTTTTTTTACTAAAACACATAAAAAAAAGTGGGCCTAAACATTCCATTGCCAATTTTCCCGCAGCCCTGTGGCTTCCAATTGCAAAAGGATTTCCGGTTTGTTTTATAAAGAGGAAACTCCTGCAGCTGAGAGCTGGCGGCTGAACGCTGGTCCAAGAATTTTCATATACATGTAATTAGCATGATCTGTACCTTCTACGCGTTGTTTTCTTTGAAGTATTTTTAAATTATCATTACCTGTAAATAAAATATATTTGCTCCTGTTCCAGGATATAAACCTCAACGCTCAATGCAAGGAAGATGCTGAGGCCCTAGAACAGTGATGGTGAACCTTTTAGAGACCAAGTGCCCAAACTGCAACCCAAAACCCACTTATGTATCATCGGGTGCCAGGTGGGCGTGGCCCATTGGGTGGGTGTGGCTCCGGTGGTAACGGCAGACTGGGTGGGACTAAAAAGTTCCATCAATCAATTCCAGCTTTGCAAGATCTTTTTTTTCCCCGCGAGGTTGAAATTGACTGATTGATTGAACATTTTTTTTGGGGGGGGCACATGGCAGTGGAGACCTAAAGCGAAAAGGTTGTATAAAACCCAGCTGAAGGCCTAGTACTGGGGCGACGGCGTGCGTGCCCACAGAGAGGGCTCTGAGTGCCGTCTCTGGCACCCGTGCCATAGCTTCGCCACCACTGTCCTAGAACGAGGGCAACGAAGAGCCCCAGGGAGGATCAGGGGTCTGGAGGGTAAAAGGTAGGATGAATGATTGATGAAACTAGCTACGAGGGATCCTTGGTGCTCTCTGAGTTTGGATGTTTTCTTGCACACACTTCGTAACCCAACTAGGTAACATCATCAGTGCTGGGAGGAGGAGGAGGAGGACTATGGGGTCCTCGGTGCTCTCTGAGCTTGGTTATTTTCTTGCAGATGTTTCATTACCCAACTAGATAACATCAGCAGTGCTGGAGGAGGAGGAGGAGGAGGAGGAGGAAGAAGAAGAAGGAGAAGGAGAAGGAGAAGAAGAAGAAGAAGAAGAAGAAGAAGAAGAAGAAGAAGAAGAAGAAGAAGAGGAGGAGGAGGAGGAGGAGGAGGAGGAGGAGGAGGACAACTGTGGGGTCCTCGGTGCTCTCTGAGCTTGGTTGTTTCTTGCAGACATTTCATCACCCAACTAGGTAACATCATCAGTGCTCAGAGGAGGAGGAGGAGGAGGAGGAGGAGGAAGAAGAAGGAGAAGGAGAAGGAAAAGGAGAAGAAGAAGAAGAAGAAGAAGAAGAAGAGGAGGAGGAGGAGGAGGAGGAGGAGGAGGAGGGGGAGAACAACGACTGTGGGGTCCTCGGTGCTCTCTGAGCTTGGTTGTTTCTTGCAGACATTTCATCACCCAACTAGGTAACATCATCAGTGCTCAGAGGAGGAGGAAAAGAACTGTGAGGTCCTCAGTGCTCTCTGAGCTTGATGGCTTTCTTTCAGAATTTCAATATCCAGCTAGGTAACATCATCAATGTTAGAAGGGAGTGGGGTTTGTGGAGAGGAGGAGGAGGAGGAGGACTGCAGGGTCCTCGGTGCTCTCTGAGCTGAGTTGTTTTTTTGCAGACGTTTCATTACCCAAGTAGGTAACATCATCAGTGCTAGAAGGGAGAGGGATTTGTGGAGGAGGGGAGGAGAAACTTCAACCCTGAGCTACAAATAAGCTCCTTTATTGGAACTAGGGTTCCTTAGCCTAACAAACAGAAGGCTTAGGTTTAGGAAGAGGGCCTCGATTTATGCTCCATAGTCCCCGAGGTTAGGGCAAGAAGCAAGGAGGGGAAGCTCCTGAGAGGGAGATCCACCCTGGAAATAAGGAGGGATTTCCTGACAGTGAGAACGATGAATCAGTGGAACAGCCTGCGTCCCCAGAGTAACGGGTGCCAGTGAAGTGACTTTGGGCCAATCGCCAGGAGACGGTGAATTCTAGTTCTGCCTGAGCCATGAAAGCCAGCCAAGTGACTTTGGGCCAGTCCCTCTCTCTCAGCCCAACCCACATTGCAGGATTGCTGTTGTGGGGGAAAATAGGAAGAAGGAAGGAAGGAAGGAAGGAAGGAAGGAAGGAAGGAAGGAAGGAAGGAAGGAAGGAAGGAAGGAAGGAAGGAAGGAAGGAAGGAAGGAAGGAAGATTAGCTATGTGCAGCACGCTGAGTTACTTCTACAGCAGTGTTTCCCAAACTTGACAATTTTAAGGCATGTGGACTTCAACTCCCAGAATTCCACAGCCAGCGTTGCTGGCTGTGGAATTCTGGGAGTTGAAGTCCTCATGCCTTAAAATTGTCAAGTTTGGGAAGCACTGTTCTACAGCAAGAAAGCCTGGATCAAAATCCAACTATATAAATTTACCACGGATGCTTTACGCGGCCTGCGTTTGTCTTGAGATCACGGTGGATAAGAAACCGAACGAATGAGTTGTAAAAAAAATAAAGGACTGGGGCAAAGCGGGCTCTCAATCCACCACAACGTTTGGTGTTGCCATTTGTCTGCTGGCTTCTAGGGAAGCCAAAATGGAGGCTGACAACAACACGCCGGCCTCGTGGAAAGTCAGCACCGAGGCGTTCGAAGGCCTCCCCTGCTACCGAGCCGTCTCCAAAGTCTCAGGAAATGTCAGGATCTGTTTTCTTCCCAGCCAGCTCTGCTTCTTTGGGAGAAGCCACACACACACACCATCGCCGAGCTTGAAACTCACAGCTGTTTAAGTGGATCCCTGCAGGATCTCAAGAGGAGCCTTTGGAAAGGAAACGGCACCGGCAGCCCACCAGAAACGCACCGGGGTCCTGGGATCCTTTCGACACAAAATTGCTTTCAAGAGAAGGATCCTTAGCCTTCCCTGTTTACCCAAGGCCAGCCAGCAGCACAAAACAAACATTTTGAAGGGAAGCAGTATCGGAAGTTGTCCTCTGACTCACATCCTTTTTTTTTTTTTTTTTAATTTGAAAGGAAACTTGCTGTAAAAAGACAAAAGACGTTAAGGCAGAACTAAATCGCCCGAAGATCGAGTTAAGACAAACCCTGGTTCTTTGGCAGCTAGCTGGAGTACAGAATAACAGAGTCGGGAGGGACACCGTGGAGGTCTTCTAGTCCAACCCCCTGCGCAGGCAGGAAACCCTGTACCCTTTCAGACAAATGGCTGTCCATTCTTAAAAGCTTCCAGTGTTGGAGCATTCACCGCTTCTGGAGGCAAGGAGTTCCACTGGTTAATTGTTCTCACTGTCAGGAAGTTTCTCCTTAGTTCTAGGTTGCTTCTCTCCTTGATTAGTTTCCATCCGTTGCTTCTTGTCCTGCCTTCAGGCACTTTGGAGAAGAGCTTGACTCCCTTTTCTTTGGGGCAGCCCCTGAGATACTGGAAGACTGCTATCATGTCCCCCCTCGTCCTTCTCTTCATTGAACTAGACCAGGGGTAGGCAATCTTGGCTCTATTATGACTGGTGGACTTCAACTCCCAGAATTCCTCAGCCAGCCTGGCTCAGCTGGGAAACCTCTCCCTTTCCCCTCAGCATGGCTGGCTCAGGAATTCTGGGAGTTGAAGTCCACGAGTCATGAAGGGGCCATAGTTCCCCCACGCTGGCTCAGGAATTCTGGGAGTTGACGTCCAGGAGTCATAAAAGAGCCAAGGTTGCCTACCCCTGAACTAGACATACCCAATTCCAGCCACCATTCCTTATATGTTTTAGCCTCCAGCCCCCTGATCATCTTTGTTGCTCTTCTCTGCACTTTTTTTTTCCCCTAGAGTCTCAACATCTTTTTTGTATCATGGCAACCAAAACTCCAAACAATATTCCAAGTGTGATCTTACTACCTCGCCTGCTCTTGATACAAAACAAAACACCTTTTATACGAAACACTTTTTCACTGAACAGAGCATATTGCTGTAGGGGGGGGTATAAAACTCTGCAATCAAATCAGCAAGGATCTCCACTGCAGGATAATGATGTCCAAAGACATAAGTGCAAAACCAGCAGTGTTTACCTACATCATTCGGCCCCGAAAAGTCCCAAAATTTTAGAAAACAAATGGTTATTGCCAGGAAAAAAAAAAAAAGAAGTTGAAAAGTTGAGGCAGCATTCCTAATCCATGGAAAACCGTCTGACAATTGAAACAGCCTGCCTAAAGCTAAACAGAGAACAGACCCAACATGTTTTCCCCAGATGAAGAATCGTCAAAAAAGAGGTGTCCCAAATTAGTTGGGCTTTAAATTTTTCTGTGGAAGAAGGAATCTGCACAGCAGGAAAATATGTTTTGTTTCAGGTGTGGAATGAAACAGACCCACTCAAAACTAGATGATGATGATAATAATAAAGTTGGAAGGGACCTTGGAGGTCATCGAGTCCAACCCCCTGCTCAGGCAGGAGACCCTAGACCATTTCGGACAAATGGCTGTCCCGTCTCTTCTTAAAAACTTCCAGTGTTGGAGCATTCACCGCTTCTGGAGGCCGGTGGTTCCACTGGTTAATAGTTCTAACTGTCAGGAAGTTTCTCCTTAGTTCCAGGTTGCTTCTCTCCTTGATGAGTTTCCACCCGTTGCTTCTTGTCCTGCCTTCAGGCGCTTTGGAGAATAGCTTGACTCCCTCTTCTTTGGGGCAGCCCCTGAGAGATTGGAACACTGCTATCATGTCCCTTCTCATCCTTCTCTTCATAAAACTGGACATTCCCAATTCCAGCAACCGTTCCTTGTATGTTTTAGCCTCCAGTCCCCTAATCCTCTTTGCTGCTCTTCTCTGTACTCTTTCTAGAGTCTCAGCATCTTTTTTACATCGTGGTGACCAAAACTGGATGCAGCATTCCAAGTGTGGCCTTACCAAGGTGTTGTAAATTGGTATTAATACTTCACGTGATCTTGATTCTATCCTCTGTTAATGAAGTCTAGCACTGCGTTGGCTTTTTTGGCAGCTGCAGCCCACGGCTGGCTCCTATTTAAGTGGACCAGTCAAGCCGGCCCCATTTCATCAAGAAAACACTCAAATCACTCATGTTTTATTTCGAATGCAGAAGGCTTGAAATGGCCTTATGTCATCTTCGGAATGTCCCGTTTCAAGAATACAGGCAAGTCCTCGGGTTACGACCACAACTGAGCCCAACGTTTAGGTTGCTAAGTGAAACATTTGTGAAGCGAGACTTCCTCCATTTTACAACCTTCCTTGCTACACTTGTTAAGTGAATCATTACAGTTGTTAAGTTGGCAACATTGTGGTTAAGTGACCTTGGCTTCCCCATTGACTTTGCTTGTCCAGAAGGTCTCAAAAGTGGATCACATGATTTGGGGACACTCTGACCGTCATAAATATGAACCAGTGGCCAAATATATGAATTTTGATCACCTGACCGTGGAGAGGCTGTTAACGGTCATAAATGTGAAAAACGGTCGTCCCTTTTTTCAGGGCCGTTGTAACTTTGAACGGTCACTAACTGGACGGTTGTAAGTCGAGGACTGCCTGTACAACTGAAGGACAAGATCACTTGAAATGCCACTGCTCAGATCAGGCAAGTTTTGTTCCAGGATCAGAACGAAACAGCGTATTTTGCTCCCACTTCCAAACTAACTTTTGAAACACCGGCGTTTCCGTCACGCCCTGGGCTCTAAAAGGGCTATTTTCAAATCTGGAAGAGTTTGCGCAGTTTGGACCAGGAAACATGAGTTTTCTTTCTCATTTAGGTCACTTAAAACGGCTTTTTGAAATATGAAACGGTTTTTGTACAAACCCCTTACACAGAAAATCTTTCAAAACAGATATTTTGCTTCGGGCATGTTTTGTTAAAACGAAGAGGCAGCATTTTATACAACATAGACCGAACTGTTTAGGACTTCAGCCATTAAGGCAGCGTCCCGGATTAAGACCGGAAACAAATTAGAAACGTTGTTAATACAGAAACGTTACAGTGGGTTTATTGTTCACAAAGTTCTACTCCTGAAATATAAATGCAGAATAATAACCTTAGGCTGCACTCCAATGATTCATATGAATCAGATCTGGAAAAGCAGAGATATTGCTATAAATGCAGAAAGCAGGCTAGTTAGAGCAACAGTCTTCCTGATAATAACGCAGGGGTCTTCAAACTTGGCCCTTTTGTGAATTGTGGACTTCAACTCCCAGAATTCCTGAGCCAATCCCCTGCTCAAGCAGGAGAACCTACACCAGGGCTAGGCAACCTTGGCTCTTTTATGACTCATGGATTTCAACTCCCAGAATTCCTGAGCCAGCATGGCTCAGCTTGGAAACCTCTCCCTTTCCCCTCAGCATGGCCGGCTCAGGAATTCTGGGAGTTGAAGTCCACCAGTCATAAAAAAGCCCAGTTTGCCTACCCCTGACCTACACCTACACCATTTCAGACAAATGGCTGTCCAATCTCTTCTTAAAAACCTCCAGTGTTGAGGCACCACAACTTCTAGAGGCAAGTTGTTCCACTGGTTAATTGTTCTAAACTCTCAGGAAATTTCTTAGTTCTAGGTTGGTTCTCTCCTTGATTAGTTCCCATCTATTCTTTCTTGTTTTGCCTTCTGCTGCTTTGGAGAACAGGTGGACACCCTCTTATTTGTGGCAGCCCCTCAAATATTGGAGCACTGTTATCATGACACCCCTTAGTCCTTCTTTTCATTAAACTAGGAATACTCAATTCCAGCTAGCGTTCTTTATATGTCTTAGCCTCCAGTCCCCTGATCATCTTTGCTGCTCTTCTCTGCACTCTTTCCAGAGCTCAACATCTTTTTTACATCGTGGTGAGCAAAATTGGCTGCAGAATTCCAAGTGTGGCCTTACCAAGGCGTTATAATGCGGTATCAACACTTCACCTGATCTTGATTCTATCCCTCTGTTAATGCAGCCCAGCACCATGTTGGCTTTTTTGGCAGCTGCAGCACAAAGCTGGCTCCCATTTAAGGGATTGTCCACTAGGACTCAGAGGTCCCTCTCACAGTTGCTACTATTGAGCAAGGTACCACCTATAGCCTAGGACTGTGTTGGCTTTTTTGGCAGTCAAGGATGGCGTAGCAGGAAGAGGGGTGGTAGGACATGATTACCTGATATTCAAAAACGTCAAGGACTGCAAATTCAGGATGGCTTCTGGAATATAACGAATGCAATTCTGGTACAAATTCAAGCTTTCGAGGGAAACGAAGAGGCACGCTTCCTGTGGCAACTCGGAGAGTCGGTTCCGTGATAAATCTGAAAGAGAAATAAAGAGGATGAACCAAGTGAGAATAACCACATAAAGATTTAGATGGGATAACAATAACAATAATAATCAGATTTGCCCATCCCAGGCCCTTGAGAAGGGCTCAATAGATAAGACAAAAATGGCAAATACAGTCTGAACATCTGGCTGACTGTGCGACGAACCACAATAATAATAATAATAATAATAATGATAATAATAATAATGATAATAAAATCCCAAAACAACTGGAGCACCACTTGAACACCATTGGCATTGACAAATTCACTATTAGTCAATTGCAAAAAGTGGCCTTACTAGGAACTGCTTCCATCCTGAGACGATACCTGTAATACCATCAAACATCCACATCTGCCTATCCCAGGTCCTTGGTAAGGACTCGATAGGTAGACAAAATGCCAAATCCAGTCTGAACATCTGGCTGACTGTGCGAGGATCAATAATAATAATAAGTTGGAAGGGACCTTGGAGGTCATCTAGTCCAATTCCCTGCTCAGTCAGGAAACCCTACACCATTTCGGACAAATCGCTGTCCAGTTTAAAAACTTCTTTAAAACTTCCAGTGTTGGAGCATTCACTGCTTCTGGAGGCAGGTTGAACCACAGTGCAGGTAGTCCTCGACTTACGACCACAGCTGAGGCTAAAATTTCTGTTACTAAGCAAGACAGTTGCTAAGTGAGGTTTGCCTCATTTTAGGACCTGTCTCGCCCCAATTGTGAAGTGAGTCACTGCAGTTGTTAAGTTAGTAACCTGGCTGTTAAGTGAATCTGGCTTGGCTTGTCAGAATCATAGGAGCCCAGACGTTGCAACTGTCATAAATATGAGCCATCCAAATTTTGATCACGTGACCCTGGGGACACTGCAACCGTCATTAAGCGGGAAAACTTTTCTCAGTGCCCTTTGTAACTTCAAACAGTCATCCAATTAATGGTTGCTAGTCAAGGAATACCTGTGATAATAATAGGCTGAAGTGCTCTGGGTCTTTAGGATTGAAACAGACAAGCACCTGTCACACAGCACCCCAGACTTAACAAGTGTTGATAAGGAGGACAACAAAGTCCTCACACTTGGCCACTTTAAGACTTGTGGACTTCAACTCCCAGAATTCCCCAGCCAGCCATGCCTATTACTTTCCTCCTGCCTCCTAGACTGGAGAGACTACAGAGAAAGGGATTATAAGAGAGTAAGCAGGCCACAATGGGGATGCACATCTAAAAGAATTGTTGGAATATTCATGAGCAGGAAGAGTCATGTGGTAACGCAGTCAGCCAATGTGAAAAAAGTGCTACTGAGTCTGTGCAAAAAGTATTGAGTTAGGAGCTGAATTTTCAGTCTCTGGTTTGTCTCTGTATCTCTCTGTAAGAAGTCTTCAATTGAGCTATGTTGCTGTAAAGAAGAACGTATGGTATTGTAAATATTTTGATATAAATATAAAGAAGTTATTTTGAATCAGCTAAATGCAGTCAACTGTGAGAGCTTCTGATTTATTTTTCACCAACAGAGAAATTAAAATTCTCTAACAAGAATGCATTAGGATCAGGGAATTCTGGGAGTCGAAGTCCACAAGTCTTAAAGTGGCCACGTTTGAGGACCCCTGGTCTAGATAGTGGACATGACAGTACCTAGACACAGCTGATCAGAAGACAAAGAACTGGAAAAGGTAACAAAGCACAAAGACCTGCAAAACAGAAGGTGAACGACAATGGCAAAAGACGTCACAGGTAGTTCCAATGGTAATAAGTGCCTTAGGTTTAATCCCAAAACATCTGGAGCACAATTTCAACACGTCGGCATTGCCAAAACCAAAATTTCCATCCGTCAAAAGGCAGCTTGTCTTGGAATAGCTCACGTCCCGCAGTGATACCTTTAACACCATCAAATTGCAGCATCTGTATATCCCAAGTCTTTGGAAAGGGCTTGATTGGAGGCTAAAACATACAAGGAACAGTTGCTGCAGGAATTGGGCATGTCTAGTTTAATGAAGAGAAGGACGAGGGGGGACAGGATAGCAGAGTTCCAGTATCTCAGGGGCTGCCTCAAAGAAGAGGGAGTCAAGCTCTTCTCCAAAGTGCCTGAAGGCCGGACAAGAAGCAATGGATGGAAACTCATCAAGGAGAGAAGCAACCTGGAACTAAGGAGAAACTTCCTGACAGTTAGAACAATTAACCAGTGGAACAACCTGCCTCCAGAAGTTGTGAATGCTCCAACACTGGAAGTTTTTAAGAAGAGATTGGACAGCCATTTGTCTGAAATGGTATAGGCCAGGGTTTCCTGCCTGAGCAGGGGGTTGGACTAGATGACCTCCACAGTCCCTTCCAACTTTATTATTGTTGTTGTTGTTGTTGGATCAAAACACCAAATCCCATGTGATGAACCCTAATACTAAATCACAAAATATGAAGACCTGCAAATAGAAGTAGAACGACTGTAGCAAAAGAAAGCTAAGACACTACCAATGGTGATAGGTGCCCTGGGTGCAATTTCAGAACATCTGGAACACCACTTGAACACCATCAGCATTGACAAAATCGCTGTCAAGTCAACTGAAAAACATAGCTTTACATCAGAGCAGTCTCCATCCCGCGACGATCCCTTTAACCCCACCAAACCAGAACATCTGCCCGTCAAAGGTCCTTGGGAGGGACTTGACAGATGTAGAAAAACGCCAAAATCCAGTCTAAACATCTGGCTGATTGTGAGACCAAGCCCAATACTTCCATTCCACAATGAAGTTTCAATTTCAGCGGTCATTGTCAACACAATGACTAGGTGCTGCAACAAGATGAAAGGTTTCCAAAAATAAAACCAATCGCAATATAGCTTAGGGCCATACGGCAAATTTAGCTGAAAAATAAAAAAATTCACTCGCCGTAAACCAGATGGCCAGCGAGTAAGCTGGACCACATCGCCCTATCACTCTCAGGAAGCACAGCCAACAGGCATTTTAAATTGATCTTTAAACATCATACTTTTGGCCAACTTTCATAAAAGTTCAGCAAAAGATAGGAATCTGGATGGCTATGCCACCCATTCTTATTGAACAAAAGGCAGTAAGGGCTTTTTCTGAATCAAGGGAGTCCTCAACTTACAATACTTTGTACAGTGACCATTCAAAGTTACAACAGCACTGAAAAAAGCGACGTATGGCCGTTTTTCACACTTATGACAGTTGCAGCATCCCTGTGGTCACGTGATCAAAACTCAGGCACTTATCTGGAACAATGGCCGTGTCCTGGGGGGGGGGGTCCATATGATCCCTCTTTGCGACCTTCTGGCAAGCAAGGTCAATGGGAGAAGCCCATTAACAACCCTGTTACTAAACTTAACAACTGCAGGGGTTCACTTAAAAATGGTGGCAAGGTCATAAAATGGGGCAAACCTCCCTTCACAATGGTCTCGTTTAGCAACACTAATCTGGGGCTCAACTGTGGTCTTAACGCAAGGACTACCTTCACCCATTGTGTCTTTTATGGACTAACCCAGGGGTAGGCAACCTTGGCCCTTTTATGACTCGTGGACTTCAACTCCCAGAATTCCCAAGCCAGCATGGGGGAACTAAGGCCTCTTCATGATTTGCGGACTTCAACTCCCAGAATTCCTGAGCCAGCATGGGGGAACAATGGCTCCTTCATGACTTGCGGACTTCAACTCCCAGAATTCCTGAGCCAGCATGGGGGAAACAATGGCCACTTCATGACTTGCGGACTTCAACTCCCAGAATTCCTCAGCCAGCGTGAGGGAACTATGGCCCTTTCATGATTTGTGGACCAACTCCCAGAATTCCTCAGCCAGCATGGGGGAACAATGGCCCCTTCATGACTGGTGGACTTCAACTCCCAGAATTCCTGAGCTGGCATAGCTCAGCTTGGAAACCTCTCCCTTTCCCCTCAGCATGGCTGGCTGAGGACTTCTGGGAGTTGAAGTCCACGAGTCATAAAAGAGCCAAGGTTGCCCACCCCTGGACTAACCGTTCAAGCCGCTGCTGTTTTATTTTGTTGGAACAACGCAAACTCAAGAATCTTACATTGGAACCACTGAAAGGAGACTGTTTTGTTTGGAGCCCGAACCAAAAGGTGTTTCTCATTTCACGCTCACCCATATTAAAAGGCTGCCCGAGAAGTTGGAATTGGGTTGTTGCGGATTTCAGCCGTCGGAAGGATAAATGGCATCCGATAAATAGACACAGGCATCTGTCCGTAGGCTCCGCTCTCTCTCTCCCACCCCTGGGCTCAATATTTCAACCCAAATTCCAAATGATGTTGGCTTTCCTTCCTTCCTTTGATCCTTCCTTCCTTTTCTTTTTTTTCCCCCTCCATCCCCTTAAGTCAGTGGTTCTCAACCTGTGGGTCGGGACCCCATTTGGGGTCGAGCGACCATTTCACGGGGGTCGCCAAACAACGCAGTCCGCCATTTTTTCCCCCTTTTCCTTAGCTGTGCTACTCCCTTTTATTCTATTGGCTTTTGAAAGCCAATAGAATAGACTCTCTTGAATAGAGTCTAATTCTATTGGCTTTCAAAAGCCAATAGGAATTGTCCAGGCTGTCTCTGCCCTGCTGAGCCCGCCAAAAGTCCCGTTCTGCAAACGGTGCTGCACCCGTTGAGTAGTCCTCGACTTACGATCAGTTGAGTAGTCCTCGACTTACGACCGGTTGGGGGTCGCGGCATTAAAAAGGTTGAGAACCACTGCCTTAAGTCTTCACTGCTAAAGGATCAAGGCAGAGGACTCAATAATGATTTGCCTGAATATTTTCCTCCTTTTGCGTGGCAAGGGTTGAAACAAAGTCTCTTGCAATAAATACTGCGCAGCCCCACGCTTGGAGGATTTCCTGAAATACAAGAGCGGGATGACTTCATGCCTTCCTTCGCGCTGATCAACGTAGGAATGCTAGGATGGCTTCGAAAAGACACAATTTAAATCCACTTCCGAAGCAACAGCATTTCTCTAGCCCAGGGCTTTTCAACCTTTTCACCCATTGTCCCACTTTTTGGA